AAGAAGTGATATGTCGCTTTGGTGTGCCTCTAGAAATCCATTCCGATCAGGGCAGGAACTTCGAATCGCAAGTATTCCAGGAAGTGTGTAGAATTTTGGGCATGCATAAGACGAGGACCACCGCGTGCCACCCACAGTCTGATGGAATGGTTGAGAGATTTAACCAGACCCTTGAGAGGCATCTGGTGAAATTGGTAGACGACAAACAAAAGGATTGTGACAAGTATATACCGCTCTTCCTTCTGTCGTACCGAACCGCCGAACATGAGAGCATAAAACCTACCTCGGCGTATGTCAATTACGGTAGAGAACTACGATTACCAGTAGACCTATTGACAGGAGGGTCACCGGAGGGACCAGAGACCGTACAAGACTATGTCTGCAATTTAAGAAAAAAAATGCGCTATATACACGCCTTGGTTCGGGAAAATGGGTTACAGTCAAGTGAGAACATGAAAACCAGATACGACCGGAAATCGAACACGGACGGCTTCGACGAAGGGTCACTGGTGTGGCTGCATAACCCAACTCGTCGGAAAGGGAAATCCCCAAAGTTGCAGACCAAGTGGGACGGTCCATACAAAGTGGTTACCCGACTGAATGATGTGACTTATAGGATTCAAAAGCAACCAAATTCAAAGTGGTACACATAGACCGTCTGGCGCGTTACCATGGCAGTAACAATGATGCTCGGGACGAGCATCTCTAAGAGGGGAGTAGTGTTATGAACACACAAAGGAACTAACGCCATCTAGCGTCAACTATTAAAACCACTAAAGAACAAAGACGACATAAAACCCCCTATTCAACATTAGATGGCGTTAGAGGAACTGCTGTGGAACTATAGTCTCGAAAACCGGGTACATTCGCGAACTTTCCGGAATCACGAACATGTTCGTGCGTGTCGGGTACGTTCCAGGAATGATCTTTCTGGATTAGTCCGGAACCGGTCTCGGCCCATATAAAAAGCCGCAGGGAGGCGAGCGATCACAGTTCAGTTTGAGCTACCTTCGAGGCGACTTCGGAGTGAAAACTAGTGATCAAGAGCGATACCAGTGAAACCTACGACTTGGCTACAAAATAGGACATTGTTAGTGCTTAGTGTTTGACCTTGCTTTGTGTTGGACCTAGCGCTAGTAAATAAAGTCTTCAAAAGAGTCAGCAGGTCTTTCTCTCCAAATCCTTCGAACCCCTAACACGTAACAGTATTTTATGTGTGTATCAAAACTTGATCCTTTTATATTATACCAATCAATATACAGTTCCAAACTTCATTAGATTAATAAACTCATAAAATCTAATTACTAAGCGGCCAACTAAAGGGTCTAAATTAAATTTTATTTAAATTAAACTTTAAAAGTTTTATTTAAATGAAATTAAAAAAAAAACCTTTTCTTTAATATTATTTTCTCATTTTTTGTGATAATCTGGACACAAGATAAAATGTTTAGGTATGAAAAGATAAGACATGCAACAACCTCTACTGTACGAGCTACGCTCGACATAATAACTGAACGTCGTCAATTGCACGCCGCATCATTTTTGTTTTAATGTAAAATAATCGGCGTTAAGCTAAAGTTGTAAACGCAGTAGCGAACTGCGTCAGTCATCAAGCATGTCACGCGTTCTCATTTATCAGTATCAAGTAGCTTATTAATTTTCGGACAATACAGTTGTTTTAAACTATATCAAGTGTTTCATATCAAGCTCTAGGAAGCATACCTTCATACATCTACGGTTCATAAAGATACAGCCTGGTGACAGACAACTGTCTCTTTGTTTGTACTCGCTGATCACAGGAACTACTGGTCCGATATGAAAAATTCTTGGACCATTGATAGTCCATCAGATATTGAGGAAGGCTATAGACTTTTTAAGCACGATAGAAAACGATATAACATACGGGCGGAGTCTCGGGTGAAAAGCTAGTATTTTATATGAATTTTTTCCCGGTATATTTTGTAGGTACTCCTTCTTAAATGATGCAAGAAATCTTTAGTTTCCATATTAATGTTAAGTAAATAAAAAAAATCCCCTTCGGCGATAGAAAATGCTAAATATCTTTAATTCAGTTGATATTTTTATATTTTTAATTTAGCATTTCATACAACCAAAAGAATTATAGCTAACTGTAACGAAACCTTAGGAAACTGAAATCGTTTCTTAATTAACTCACATTTGTCCAGCAGTTCTGTGATTGCGTATCAGGGACCGATAATTGCGTTATAATTTACCGTTAAAAGATTTAATAAAAATAACTAAAAACATCTTTCATCGCCAGTAATGTCGAATGTTATTTAAGCACGCATTTTTACCAGGTTAATATTGAACTGAACTAATACAACGATCGACTAGGAGGTACGATGATCATCACTCGTATTCATGTCGGCACTACCCTAGCGGAGGGCCCAAGCCCGTGGGTTCTGACTAGCCCACCGGTTCTGCGTCAGATGAAGCTTTAATAGTCTCGGGACTGGAAGCAAAAACATCAGTTAATACAAGATACAAGATCGTATTCATGTCGCTTTGGAACTGCAACCATTGTCTTAATGATACAATATTGAAATTAAAAAGAAATCAAAAGATGCACTTTCATGCAATACTACTATATTGTATTATACTATTATACTGAACTTAAAGTCTTATAGGTATTTCAAAATGTGGACGCCGTTATTATTGAAGAAATGAGAATGAGAAACTGATTGTAAAGTTTATATTTTATATGGTCTAGATATACCACTTTGATATTACATGGCAGTTATTGTTCGAATATAAAATAGAGAATGGTGTTGTTGTTAAAGTTCACTATTATAAGGATAATGCGTAATTCCAACATTGTCATCACATCCTCACGCTTTACCTGGTAAAAGAGTGATATGAAAAGGTATTGGTAAAGCAGTCATGTGAAAAATTGATGTCGGTATTGTACAAATTCTTTGGACAGTGACGGAGGTATGCTGCGATGATGTACTTGTTCTTTTTTTTTTTTTCTCACGTGGGAAAAATCTTTTACGGATCCCCCGCCGCCTTGTGGGTAGGCAGCAGGGGTATGTGGGAGTTACGGTATTGTGTCGGTGCACAAATTATACTTGTTCTAACCAACCTTAAGTTCTAGGAATCTGAAAGTTTTTACCCATACTGTACACTGTATTTGTTATTCTAGGATTTACCATACTCCGCTCGTGAGTTTACTTTCCAAAAAGGAATGGTTTATTTTTTTATCTTTCAAAACCAATATTTTTTTTAATATCTGAAAAGTTGGCAAGCTAGCAACTGGTTCGCCAGACGTTAATTGGTTACTGCCCATGGGCATCTGCAAAGCCTGACGGGTTGCAGATACGTTGGCAACCAGTGGCGGATTTACCACATAGCAAGCTTGGCAATAGCTACGGGCCCCGCGCCAAAGAGGAGCCCGCATATTTAACCCACTCATCCCTTAGTAAAGTAAAGTAAAGTAACAGCCTATACATGTCCCACTGCTGGGCAAAGGCCTTCTCTATACAGAGGGTATCAGGGCATAGTCCACCACGCGGCCCCACTGCGGATTGGCGGACTTCACATATTTTCGAAATATATTTTTTTTTTGGTATTATTTCGAAAATATGCAGGTTTCCTCACGATATTTCCTTCACCGCGGAGCACGTGATAAGTCAGCACTTAAAGTTAAAAAACTTCATTGGTGCCGGCACCGGGGATCGAACTCAGGTTGCTCGAGTATATTGAATTAAAGGCGAGCGCCCGGACACTGAGCTATCACGGCTCTTCCCTTGCTGAGCCTTAATTTTTTGAGTGAAACTTATTAAATAAGTAAAAGTACTGAAGTGTTATTAACACTTATATATACTTAAGAACCCATGGCAGATCAAGGGCAGAATTAGCTACGGGCCCCGCGCTTGCTTAATCCGACACTGTTGCCAACCAATAAACTCTGAGCTCTGGTTACCTCACTCTCTCCTGTGAGATTGTGGCACTGCTCATGGCTCTTTGTGCTATTCGTGCAACAGCCGAAGTTGCTTCGTGGCCCTGCCACAGTAAATGGTCAATAGTTCATAACATTTTTTTCTATGATAAAAATATTTAAAGGGTCATAACAACTGCCTAAATTAACGAGACTGTACATATTTATATATAGGTACAGTTCTTCTGTACGTGTGTACGTTCACTGAACTCCTCCTAATCGGCTGGACCCACTTTAATTACAATTTTTTGTGTGTCTTCAGGTGGATTCGAGAAGGTTTAGATTAACAATTCCGTCCACTACATTTTTTTTTTATTTCGAAGTTGTCGAATTTAAGTTGTGTGTACTCCTGTACAAACAACTTAAATTCGACTTGCGGACCGGACAAAGTCTGTCCGGTCCGCAAGTCGATTATATGTCACTAACAGAAGGTATAGATCAAATTACCCCCCACGAAATGACATATTTTTTAAACGAGCGTACAACCCAATATTCCTCAGATATGAAGATAACTTTTTAAAAGCAGTAGCAGCGGTTTAATTTTTATTTAACATTGTAATAAGTAGAATTCCCTTTAGTTAAGAATTCTAAACGTTTAAAAGTTAATCATATCCACAAATTTGTAATCTGACATATCCATCAATTTAAAAAAAGGTTAAAGAGGTTGCTAAGCAACCGGTCTGTATGGTGCCAAAGGCGATTCTTTATTAGTATTAACTTAGCGTGACCAAAGAAAAAACTCAACTTCGTGCAAGCACGGTCGTTCGGGTCTCAGTAATAAAGCAATTGCGTCTATTAATAAAAGTAACTTGTCCGGGCCCGTTTAATGGCTGGATCGCGACGGGCGAGCGTCGCCATTACTTCGGAGCATCTTTAGTTCTCACTACGGTATCGATTCAGATAGCTCGATTCCAAATGTCAATAACAATTAAGATAGCGCAGTGAAAATAAATGATCGGCCCGTTTGGGGCGCGTTAAAAAAAGGTTATTTAAAGAGTTGTGGACGTTAGTGGCGTAACCACTGCTTCTCGGACGGTGCAAGATGAGACGCGCGATTCTATTGCTTGTGGGTAAGTGGAAATTTCCGTAGGGTATACGGGAGATTATGGACCTTAAATTTATTGCCGTAGTTTGTTTTTGTGTTTTATTACTATGTCTAAAGTAATCATTTGTGCGACTGATGCTATATTTTTTTCATTAACTTATAATTGCGTTTATACGATTATTTCTTTTTATTTGTCATATGCAAGTGTTAGTGAGAATTTCTTTAATCACTATTCATAATTATTTTAATTGCTGTTCTTAAATTACTTTAATTGCATTGATATACACTACCGTGGGTGTAGGTTGCTTTAATCCAATAAGATTTCTTCAATACTTATGGGTAATTTTATTATCGTGGCACACGAAAATACAAATATTTTCTTAAAAATATTTTTTTCTTTCTTTTACAAATATAATACATATAAACACGCTCCTATATCTTTTCGCACGCATTTCATTTTATTTTTGTGATCTTTAGCTTTGTTTACAAAAGTTTTGCCTCAAGGTTATTGAATATCAATAATATGTAGTAATATATTATTTGTTTCAAACTAGATTTATAATGACTTTGAATTGTTTTGTTTATTTTATCTACATGTTAATGATAGATTGTTCAATTTGTATTAATTTTAATACCTATCTTACTAATATTATAAAGGCGAAAGATTGTGTTTGGATGGATGTTTGTTACTCTTTCACGCAAATACTACTAAATGGATTTTAATGAAACTACAATAATATAGCTTATACATCAGAATAAGACAGGCTTTAATTTATAAACATATTTTTAGTATATCTGTCTTTCTGTCTGAATATTACGCCTTCAGCCTATTCTACGCAGACGTAGTGGCGGGCAGCAGCTAGTTTGTATTAATTCTAAAACCTATCCTTACTAATATTATAAATGCGAAAATTTGTATGTATAGATGGATGTTTGTTACTCTTTCATGCAAATACTAATGAATGGATTTTAATGAAACTTTACAATAATATAGCTAATACATCAAAATAAGAGATAGGCTATAATTTACATACATATTTTTATGTATATCTGTCTTTGTGTCTGAATATTACGCGGACGTAGTCGCGGGCAGCAGCTGGTTTACCTATATAAACTCTTTTACAGTCGCCATGGCGAGCTCGGAGGAATTTCATTTCCTGGGCCACGAGTTTTCCAGAACTCCGTTGGGTGATCGCATCGACAAAGCCTCGGTGAAGATGCTTAAGGTATGCCTTATTATTTCCCACCTTGAGATTTCTTTATTATTTTATTGAAATTTGTAAAAAAAAATGGACGGAAAGCTGCTAGAATCGAACTCACTTCGGAGGTCGCGCCTACAAGCCTTATGCCAAACGGCTGATTGCCACACCAACGAAAATCTCAACGTATTTTATCTACCTACATTGTTTTATCGCATTTTAACTAATGCTTGGCGCATCTTTTGTTATGTCCTTTAGAGTACAAACACAAACAATTTGAAATATCTTTTTACAACTACGTATAATTCTAACGAGAGATAGTATAAAAATTTAAATTTCTTCATAATTTATTCAGATATTTAACTTGGTAAATCTTCTATCCATCCAAACACTATTAGGTTAGCAAAGCTGAGCATTTCAAAAGTTCTTGACATTGAGATGAGGAGTGTACGAATCTCCGAAGATGGGTATCTTCGGGCATCGTATGATCATCACCCGGTCATGGTCACCTTAACGTTTCCATCCCACATTGATATCTATTTCAGTTGCTATTGATTGGAATAGGTCCACAATTGAAGTACTGCGAAATAATAGCGCTTTGGATGTTGCAGTTAAGTAATCGTATAACATCCGGTCCTCTTATTTGCAGGAAGCTTATCTGGCATCCGAAGAACCCAACGTGATTACCTCGCCTTTAGGAGTGTTGCTGCTACTCTCTCTATATTCCTCCGGGGCCCAGGAGAAGAGCAGGGAAGAAATTATGACGCTTCTTGGATCAAGCGACTACAAAGATGTTAGTACCGTTGAAACTATCAAAAACTCACCTAAAACCTAATCTAGCAGGTGATAAATATTCCAAAGTCCATTCTTATTGGTCATCTGCGTTTTATTTAAGAAACTGTGTTAAAATTGCATGCGTCTCGATTAAGCGACGCGTTGACTCGAACCGTTCGTTTTTTATAGTTTAAAGTTAATAAAACATTTTGGACTGTATACCGTATAACATGGTCCTGAGAAACTATGATATCTCGATTCAATTTAAAATGATAAAAGTTTTAAGAACCAACGATTTTTATAAACACTCATTGATGAGTGTTTTCTTACCGTGTTCTTCTAACTCTGCGTCAACTATAATCATAATAATATGTATTTTTTTATATAATATGTATTGTATGTATTTTTTTTTGTTTCCAACCTTTTAAATATTATTGCATCTATACATGAAATACTTTGTTAATATGATCTGTTCATAAGTAACGCAGATGAAGTCGCGAGTATCAGTTACTTATAAAATAAATTCTAACTCTTTTACTTGCAGTAGACATGCAAGCATATTTAAATTTAAAATACATCTTTTTTTTAAACATATGACATTAATCAAGGCAGCGATTTCTCATCAATGCGCTATCTTATATTATTTTAAATGTAGAACAACGAAAATTCAATTTAAAATAAAAATATTGTCATCACAACGAGCAAAACGTTCTGACCGTGAACTGCCAGTACTGAGTACCCAACTAAATATCTTGGAACAATGACCCAAAGTAACACTTGGCCTTCAATACATCGAACTGAGTGGAGCTTGAGCCTTGAGGAAAGACGAGTATTTATTCATATGACAACATCACTTCTATTCTTGGTTTATCTTTAAATCACTTATACATAACATCAAGTAATATTTAAATTGCGTTGCTCAAAGCTCAACTATCGTGTTTCGGGGTTAAAAGAGCATATAGCTAGAGTTTTACTAAATTTGTATGTATGATTTTAAATTCGTTTTGCTTAAAAAAATAATCGTGATATCTGCTGATATGTTGACATAAATATACTGTTTAAGTCACAATATTAAATGTATATAAATAAATAAAGTGTAGATCGAATTTTATCTATAAAGTTTAATAATTTTGATAACTACATTTTAGGTTACTTACATTTTTGATTTATTTTGATTACAACAATGTTTTTATCATATACTGTACGTTTTTATTTGCTCCGACATGAGCCGGCAAAAAAATAAATAAACAGATTTGACGAAGATTGATTGACTGAGCACATTTGTTTTTCTAGGTGTTTCTTTTTTAACACAAAATTTATACTAGACATAAAATAAATAAGACTTACGAATTCGATTGAACATGTTTTTGCCGCCTTTAAGTTGAAAGCAATTAAAATATTATTATCTACAAGTTTCATTCCAATTCCGTCAAAATTTTATGACTCCTGTGCCAAAACCCGTCATCAACGGATGATTCTTTGCAAAAGTAATTTAAAAAGAACATCGATCTTTATGGTTTTTAAGTATTTTGCAACGTTCCCAATGTAAAATATTAATGTTTTATAGCGCTTATTAATTTTAAGTTCTTCAAATTCCGTTCGTTTCAGCTACAAACAGTTTTCTTCGCGCCTTCGAATTTCGATTGCACACGATTTCTAGGTTTTCAGAAATTTGATCCACCCACCTTTTAGGATTACGGCCTCTAGGTCTTGTATTATCGATAGGCAAACTGAAAAGAGCGTTTGCAAAATTTGAAATATTTAAAAAATAAGAAAAAACCTTACTGCTGATTTAAAACTCCCATATCTCCCGTTTGAGTGAACCGATTGAGATGAAACAAAGCCTAGATACTGCCCCAAGCTTTGCTTAAGTAACCATTGAAAACTGCATCAAAATCCGACTAAGTAGTTTTCAAGTTTATCGCTGACAGACAGACAGACAGACAGACAGAAAAAAAATCCAAAAATGGTTTTTACGTGTCCTATAATACTTTTTATGATACATTTTTTCATAAATATATTCAATGTACAGACACGCCGATTCTACTCTTTTATTATAGTAAAGACAATAATCGGGAAATCCCCGTACTGAACCTTTTCAGTTGCCACCTCTTTCAAATAGAGTTGTCAACCGTACTATATATATGTACTGTCTTTCTGTATATTGTCATGTCATCAGCCGCAAGACGTCCACTGTTGATTATAGGCCTCCCCCTTAGAACGAACGACACTTTGCCATTTGCATCCACCGGTTGCCCGGGACTCTTATGATGTCGTCGGTCCACCTACTAGAGGGAGGCCTTCCAACTCTACGTTGTCATGTAATGTTGAATAAATATATAGGATGCAAATTACTATATTTCGGTTGGATGGTTTAATCTTTATTTTGCAACATACAAAATGTTAACGTATGTTGAATTTTCACTTTTAAAATTCGAAAAAAATAAATAACTACCAATAATAGCATTGCGTATTCCTCTTTTATCGAAAAAATACTATATATTTTGTAGATTTTTTAAAATTTTTTACATAAACAATTAAAAAATACTAAAACAGCTGAAGAAGTTTTGCGACCCTATTTTCAAGTAAAAAAAATTTACGAAAAGTGAAGAAAGGTTGATCTCAAACTATGTTTATATCTTGAGAACCGGACACAGACCTTTAAAACTCCTGCTTTTAAAGTTTACAATATATTCCGACCGATTTTCCGTTAGGCTGTGGTCACAGTGTAAAGGAAAGTTGCGCATTAATAAAGACCTATTCGATTGCTTTATCAACTCGCATATTTGATCTCCAGCTGTTCGACTCGTACACCAGCCTTGGCAACAAATTCGCGAAGATGGACCCCAGCTACCTGACCCTCGCGAACAAAGTGTACGTGGCCAACGGGTACACGCTATCTGAAGAGTTCTCGAATACAGCCCGCTCCTACAACAGCGAAGTGGACGCTATCAATTTCAAAGACCCGAGTTCGGCCGCACAGATAATCAATCAATGGGTGAGTCACAACAAAAATTAGATCACACATGAGAATAAATCTTGAAAGAATAAAGGAGATGATGCTTTAATCTGCCAGTACAGCTGGCTCCGTGTACATTTTAATTTAGTATGTATACTATACACTGTAAAGCAACAACCTATACATGTCCAAATGCTGGGCAAAGGCCCCCTCCGCACAGAGTATCAGGTCATATAGTCCCCCACGCGACCCCACTGCAGATTGGCGAACTTCACATATTATCTTCGAAACATTTTTTTATTGATATTATTTCGAAAATTTGCATCCTCACGATATTTTCCTTCTCCGCTAAGCACGTGATAAATCAGCACTTAAAATTAACAATTTCATTGCTTCCGGCACTGGGGATTGAACTAAGGTTACTCAAGTAATTAAAAGCGAGCGCCCGGACAGTGAGCTATCACGGCTCTGCTACATGTAACCTTTGATGATGAAACTGATCTTATAAATACTAATAAATTCGGTCATCCTAAACAGGCGCAGATAGACATAAAATTTGAAGTGGTGAAAACTCAATAATGAGGATATTGTATACATTTTTTTTTATGTGAAAAGTTGCCAACCCAACAGGTGGTTCACCTGATGTTAAATGAATACCACCGCCCATGGACATCTGCTACACCCAAGGATTTGCAGATGTGTTGACAACCTTTTGAAAATTGGGCTCCGGCTACCTCACTCACCAAACGAAACGCGAAAGTATTTGTCATACTTCCACTTTACGCTGATCTTCTGTGAGGTCGTGCTACTTACCCGGTCGGGCCTGCCCATTCGTGCAACAGCCGAGGCTGCTGCGTGGCCCTACCACCGCTAAACATGGCTTGATACTTTGATCATTATATTTAGTTAAGTATAAATTAAGAAGTTAAATCTATTTTTAGTTACATCCACTTTAGACCCTTCCGTTAGATCGTACCCAGACCTTTAAGATGTAGCATAATCATAAAAAAATCATTTTAAGCGTTAAATGTTTTAACAGGCTGCCGAGAAGTCGAAAGGCCACATAAAGGATCCCGTAAATGAGCAAATACTGGACAAGGATGCTGCGGCCGCTCTATTCAACGTCATTTTCTTTCAGGTATTGTGGACTTACAGTATCGCCATAATTATCATAAAAAAGAATAAAAGATCACGACAAATCTAGTTGCCAGATATTTACTTTAAGCGTGGGTTTCTCTGAATCATTACCGTGCAGAATGTTTATTTTAAATACGAGATCTATAAAAATCCACATTCGACTATCGGTTATATCGTTTTAACAAGAAATAACAAACAATATAACGGGGGCAATAATAAATTACGCTCTGTAAACAATCATTGAAAGTCACTCTGATTAATTTGAGCATTCACGTTTTTAGATCATGATTAACTCTTTTTTTAAACGATTTAAAAAAAAAGTAGGTTCTCAATTCGGTTGTATTGTTTATATAAGTTTATTAACTCAGAACTCCGTCATTTACGAACAGATTTTTTAATGTGAGAAGGTGGCAAACGAGCTGGCGGTTCACCTGATGTTAAATGAATACCGCAACACCCGTAGGGTTGCAGATGCGTAGCCTTATAATAAAGTGAGCCCCATCTACCTCACCCACCAGACGAAACAGAAATTTAACACGTCTACTACACGCCGCTCTCCTGCGAGGTCATGGTACTTACCCAGACCTGCCCATTCGTGCAACAGAGAAGATTGCGTGACCTACCAAAGTTTGATTTGAAAAGTTCTTTTTAAAATCGATTTTCGGAGATACATCAGGATGCTCCTTAAAATCAAATAGATAATGTTTAGTGAGTAATGTGTTATTGAAGTCGATTTTGTTTTTTGTTATTAAAAACTTTATCATGCTACGCTATGAAACATAAATAGGCGTATTATGCATTTGTATAATTGTTTATGAAGCCAATTGTCGATTAACGCCTAAGCTTCACAAAAAAACTTATTAATATCATTATAAGGTAACACACCTGCCGCGTTCAATAACACCACAAAATAAAGAAAACCTTTTTACCTATTCCGTGAATAACACCAACGTATAGGATAAAAAAGGAAGCATATCATAATTTAAGATAGATGAAAAAAAAAAAATTAAATAAAACGAAAATGTCTGAAACGTAATAAGTGATTATTTTATTATAGTTTTATTTTGTTTTTATTGGTTAGGAAAACATACGGCACTTCCATAAAATAAATTGTACAATTACACACAGATGTAGGCCAATAAAGTTTTCACTACTAGCTATTTTTACCACTGCATCTGAAGTATACAGTTAAATTAGGAGCAAGTGCGATCAAACTTTAAGCGAGTAAATAATGAAAACTTTAATATCGGCAGGGTCATTGGCATGTGCCATTTAACGCTGACGAGACAGAAGAGAAGGACTTTAGCGTGAACAGATCTTTGATCGTTAAGAAGCCAATGATGCACATGGAAGATTCTCTCTTCTACTACGAGGATGATGAAATAGGAGCTAAGGTAAGTCATTATTATCAAACCAATAGAAAATGACATCTGATAAAAGACAAAACGTATGGCTAAATTTACGAGTTTAATAGATGCAATGATGATAGAATGGCGACATCCCTCGTTCTAATTGTCGTTATAAAAAGATATTTCAAATTCAAATTCAAAATTCAAAATATCTTTATTCAAAAGTCGCTTGTGCGTTCTTATGAATCGTCGAGCTTTACATAAAAATTTATATATGGGTTCGTAAGGTACCACCGGTTCGGAAAGCAGTTTCTGTATGTATTTGAAATTGTTTGCGTGCAAACAATGTAGATAAAACACATTGAGATTTTCGTCAGAGAGGCAATCAGTTTAGCTCAGTGGTTCAAGTGCCTGGGCGCGAATCAAGCAAATGTAGGTTATATTCCCGCGGCGTCGAAAAACTTTTCGTCTATTTTTTTTTGGATAATTTAATGTTTGTTGTTAAGTGCCGAGATTAGAACTATACAGATTAAGATTTAATAAATTAAAAAAAGTCTTATACGGCCCCACGGGTATCGAAAGTTTGCCTTGCGGGTAAACGAGTTAGTCGAACTACCCCATTATTCGAATCTCGCATTGCCGTATGCAACAAATTCATCTATTATAACATTATAACAATTTACAACAATTCTTCTATTAAATATCATCTTGAGTGATTTAATAATTGGAATTAGATTCCAATTCTATAGACTGCTATCTCTTTCCTTTCTGTATCATACCATGCACCGCAGTATGGACACGCGCCATCTTTTTAAAACATCATTGCATACAATAATATCCTACACAATCGTTACCCAATCTTCTTTTATCGTTTCGATACCGTTGTTCCTTGCAGTTGGTCGAGTTGCCGTACCAAGAGCCCGGTTTCCGCATGATCGTGGTACTGCCCAACGAGGTCGAAGGCCTGGCTTCGGTGCTGGAGAAGGTGGCGGAGAAGGGATTGCTCGAGGACGCGTTTGCTTTGAGCCCCGCGGGGAGGGCTATCAACCTGTACATGCCCAAATTCGACATCACGAGCAAGATAGAGTACACATCGATATTGCCGAAGGTATGTCTCCAAAAATTTCCCGCTCGAACATTGTTTTACAGCGAAATTACTTTTGTACAAAATAATTTGAATCCATTAGTACACCTAAACATTAACTCGGTATATCTAATGTCAGATGCTAAGAACCAAGATGATGTTTAACTTGGTTAACTTAGTTTTAAGATGATAAGAGTAGTTGAATGCTTGTAGCTTTTACAGGGCCAATCCCTTTGACTAAATAAAAAAAAATAGAGCACTCGTACAACAAAGAATCGTTCATTTACAGTTGGGAATCAAGGGAATATTCAGCGAGGGGGCCCCGGGAATTGTCAAGGAACGCGGTGTTGCCGTATCGAAATTCTTCCAAGAGGCCATAGTCAAAGTCGACGAGGAAGGCGCCACCGCTGGTGCTTTTACTGGTAAGACATCAGTGAAAAATTTATGCCAAATTGTCCAAAACCGTTAATAAATTGAATGATCATGATATCTAGCGAATTTTTACATTAGAATTATGTTTTTTTTAATGAGCGACCATATGGGGTAGCCAAGCCTCGATAACGGAAAAAATAAACGTTTTGCAAATGTAATCGATGCAAAATGCGCTTGTTATAGGACTTTTGTTTTGATCTTAATATATAATTATGAAAACGTCACTTGCCTTTTGAAGGTTTTTTAAAACTTTATACAAAATCTAATGACTGTTTAATATAGAATAGTTATAAGGCGTAAAACAAGTATTTGTTTATTTTGTTCATTTTTATTAATTAAAACTATGGTCGAAATACTTTACGAACACTATCATTTGTATGCTATTTCATATCTATGATAATCCGAATTTCTGTATCCTTGTAAGTTATTATTGAACTGTGCGTTATTTTCTAACGATTTAACACAAAGAAATACGGTGTCTGATAGATATAATTTTTGTGATAACGGAGGATATCAATGACATGCTAATTTGTAATTTCATAATTTTTATACGTTACAGGAGCCATTGCAGTCCCAATGTCTTCGAACTCTAAACCACCCGAGCCCCTGGACTACATAGTGGATCATCCATTCTTGTTCGCTATTTTACACGAGGATATAGTGCTCTTCACTGGTACTTACTCCCAATAATACACTTGTGAGTGATCAATATCAATTTGAAAAAAAAAAAGACATATTTTGTAATTGTTCATTTTTTTTTTTCAAAATAAAACTTATGAGGACTTAATATTGATGTTTCATTATCCCTGACATAACACGCGATACACTGTTGACATGATATAATTATATGCAAATTCCTTCACTTGTTTTGACCATTAGCATATAGAATTATGTTATAATACGAATATATATATTTATACGAAGAGCATCATAATTACTTAGTTTAACTCGTGGCAGCCCGCTTCGGAATCTCTTAAGTCGAATTATTATAGTTATTTCATAATGAGTCTACCTACATATGAATATTTTCACTACCAAAAATTTATTGTTTCCTCGAAAGAAAACCTCCGTATAAACTCTAAATTAAAGTAAATAATTCACCCAACCCATTCCACGGGAAAACCGTAGTACCTAATAAAAGATAGCTCATTGTTTGGACGCTTGCTTTTAATTCAATAAAATACTCGAACAACTGAGTCCAATCCCCGATGCCGGCACCAATGAAATTATTAATTGTACTGCTGACTTATCACGTGCTCGGCGGTCAAGGAAAACATCGTGAGGAAAACTGCATATTTTTGAAATAATAACAGAAAAGAAAAATTTCGAAGGTATCTGAACTCCGCCAATCCGGTTATATCGGGGTCAGTGTCAGGTCAGGTCACACTGGGGTCCGTGGTGGACTATTCCCTAATACACTCTGTATAGAGGAGACCATTGCCTAGCAGCGGGACACCTAGAGGCTTTTTACTTTTTACCCAACAAGAAACAAAATCGACTCCAAATATTTCACTCTCAATAAATTTTCTATTTGATTTTGAAGATTTTGAATAGTTCCTTGATTTATCTCTGGAGCCCAAGGTTCAATACCAATAAAATTACTAAAAATTACTAAATTTATAAATGACGGAGTTCTGGTGTAATAAACAGTACCTGGTGGACGGAAATCGCTGGATCCGTTTCCGAAATTCCAATTATATACAGCGTGTCGTTACCATCGCGGCAATAAATGAACACACGTCTAACGCTACTTGCCAATAATCAGAAAAAAATATGAACGTTAAACAAAATCCATAATTAAAATAAATATTTTTCAAACAAACTAATTAAGTAAAAAAGAAACAAAATTTGTAACATCCTATACAACTCGCGCCACAGCGTCGTATTACAAGCCTCTCATTCTAACAGTATGTTTTGTCTCTTTTAAATTCATTCAACCCATTCATATGCTTTGTGACCTTTACAAATGAACTTTACGTTACGCTTTTATAGGTAAGGGTGTTCTAAAATTCTTTGTTTTGGAAAATTTAATAACTCTGTAAATATTGATGTTTAAAGAATTTAAATGTTTAATACAACTTTAAAAAGTTATCCTCTACATGTTCATTTATTGTCGCGATGTAAACGACACGCCGTATACAAGAATTGCTCGTATAAAGGATAAGATAAAATAGCATACAACGGAACTGAATAACTGAACTCCTTTTATCTTACCTTGAAGAATTTAACTAGTTGATCAACTTCTCGTGGTACTAAAGTTAGCCAACTTTTTTTTGTAACTTTTTTTGATTGGAAAAAAAAAGATCTGAAAATCTGAACTTCACGGTCATATACACACTGATGGTTTAATAGTATTAGTAATTAGTATTTTCGTGGTATTGGCTTAAAGATCTTGTGACCAGGCCATAAAATCTTAGTAACACTAAACACCAAACCAGAGTTGCGTTAAAAATATTTCGAAATTGAAACGAATTCGATAGTAGAAAATAAATATCGAATATCAATATAGCGGGAATTAAAATATCGACGATATATATCGATATTTATTTGGAAAAATATCGATATTTTTTGCTCATGCCTATTATTGACTGACAAATTGACAAATCACAATTTACATCTCAATAAAATAAATATGTTTATGCTAAGATTTTAAAGTTAAATCTTATATTAATTTAGATGAAAAGAATGACTTCTTTTAGAAAATACATAGGTAAATATATTAGATTAAAGTAAGGCATTGCTGCTGCATCCTTATGAATATGTTTCTAAAGAAGAGCCGATTTCAGTTCCTACCTGATAAGGTTATGTAGTCAAATGAAAACATATAAATTTGACTGAAATTAATTAAATAAAAAATATTTTAGAATCTAACAGTTAAAGGATAATGGACTCAATTCCATCATCTTTTAACTGCCTTTCTCTAACAAAATATTCTAAAACACAACAATATAAATAAGGAGTAATTAATGCTTTCAAACTTATTTAAGATTCATTTCTATTATATATTTATAGTTAATACTACAACAATATTTAAGTATTGACTATTCGTAATCACTGCTTTTTTATAATCATTTAATACTATAATTATTTATTATTTTATTTTCGCACTTTGAATTTATTTTTTTCATTACAGATGTAGGAGCAAATCTCACTGATGAGATGTATCAAGGTGTGTATCACACATCGAAAAAGCATGAACCAGATTTGAATAGAGTTCTGGAACGCAGCTGGTCTGCTGGATTGTCTAAAATGATCATAACAGGTGGAAGTTTAATAGACAGCAAAAAGGCGATAGATATGTCCCAATGTGATTGTGAGTTTAATAATTTTCATTTGAAAGCTTAAGAGGTATATATCCATTCCACTGCTGGTAAAAAAGCCTAGTGGCCCATCTGATTGTCAGTTATCACTGCCATCTATGAGCAATTGTAATACTAAAGTTGTCATCCACAATTTTACAGCTTCTCTTCTTTAGGATCAGAGGGCTGGATTTAGAGGTCTGGAGGCCTCGGGTCAACAAAGGAGTGGAGGCCCCTGGGCCCCAAATTATTTCCCAGATAAAATGAACAATTTTTTCAGTTGAATTTTGAAATAAATAATTTATTGTGGAATCAAGTATAAATATGAAAGAAAAAGTTGTGTAGTAGTGTTTACTAGTCTGAATTAGAATTTTTTTTTCGGAAGTCTATTGTGGGGGCCTCTCTTTTGTGGAGGCTCCGGGGCATTAGCCACGGTTGCCCTCCCCTAAATCCGGCCCTGCCTGTAGTGATGATTTAGGGGCCTTAATGAATAATATTTTACAAATCTTCAGTCAAATTGGACCAGAAATATTGCAGGTGGCTATGCATTAGCTGAATATATTATAACAATCATTCTGTTTGAACACTCCTGTTGTAAAATAGAATAGTATTCTGAGTTGTAGGCATGTTTTACTATATACAGTGGACGCCTGAAATTCGGCCCCTGTCTAATCTGGCACCCCGTGTAATCCGACAAGCCTGTCACTGTAGGTTTTTGTTGAATATAGGTACACAAACATTATTTTGGCAAATCTTGACCAATGTAGGTAATGCATGACTGCTGTTCAATTGCAACCTGTAGGATTTGTAGCAGTATGGTTTGTTATTCAGATAGAATCTTACATTTTTAATTTGTGGGATTACAAGGCACAGTTTTTCAAAAAATTCCAGACTATAGTTGGGTCTTAGGCAGTACTCTATAATCCAACAAATTCAATAGTCGACACTGCCATGCAAAATATTTGTTGGATTACCAGGGGTCCACTGCTAAATGCATAATTGGTAATTGTTAAATATAAAATGAATGTAGTTTTTGTTATACATAAAGTTCATGTCGTTCCATAACCACATGAATTTTATGTATAACAATTATGGTGCATGAGCACATAGTGGATTAATAATATTCTGCATGTGTACACATGATCGTGTATTTCCCATAATTGGGCTATATTTCATTTCAGCTCGGTTATTTTCTACTGTGGGATGTCATCCTACTAGATGCAGTGAGTTTATTGAGAACCCGGAGATGTATTTGAGTGGGCTTAGAGATCTTATAAAAAACAATAGAGAGAAAGTTGTAGCTGTGGGAGAGTGCGGTTTGGATTATGAGCGCCTGCATTTCTGTGATAAAGATATTCAACTTAAGTAAGTATTGTTTATGGGTAATTTTGCCGTATTTAAGTTTAAGTGAGGCTATTGTCTGTTTTTTTTTTTAATGTGAAAAGTTGACAAGTAAGCAGGCGGTTCAGCTGATGTTACCTGAATACAGCCGCACATGGAAATCTGCTACAGCCGAGGGTTACAGATGCGTTGGCAACTTTTTGTGAATTGGGCTCCGGCTATCTCACTCACCAGAGGAAATGCGAAAGTATTATTCACACTTCCACTTTACGCCGGTCTTCTGTGAGGTCATGGTGCTTTACCCAGACGAGTCTGCCCATTCGTGCAACAGCCAAGGCTGCTGCGTGGCCCTACCACAGTGAAAATATTATTATTATTATAACTTTTTGAAACAATAAAAGCAGAATGATCAATTCAAATGATTTGACCACCCTTTTGGCGCAACTCCTATTCCAATTCCAATTTTAGTTTTATGGCTCCATCAATATATGGGCGCAACTCAAATGATATTTGAATAGCCATTTGACAGCTGATTAGTTAACGTCTACAATGATCAGTGTTTCAGAAACCGGACCTTAGTCTTACGGTCGCGGATTCAAATTCCATCAGCAAGCACTAATGATGTTTCTTCTTCTACTTTTCTTTTCTTTTACGGTTTTTAAGATACTCTGCTAACTTACAGGTATTTTGAATACCAAATAAAGCTGAGTCGTGAATTCAATCTACCGCTGTTTCTCCATTGCCGCGCGGCCGCTGACGACTTGGTGGACATATTAGGGAGGAACCAGGATGACTTTGTGGGCGGGGTTGTGCACTCTTTCGACGGATCTGCTGACGCGCTCGAAAAAATTCTAAGTCTGGGACTGCATATTGGCATCAATGGGTGGTGAGTTTGGTTCAAATTCAAATTTAAATGCTGACTTCCCGCACACTTGCACGGGTCGTCCCATACTGCGATGGCCAATGCGAGGCTGCCACTCGAGAAACTTTCTTTCCCAACAATCCCCTAATATATATTAATAACTACTTTTGAAATTTCCTTAAAATATAGATAGAGAAATACGGACTTACGTTTTTCTAGTTCACTACGCACTAAGGAGAACCTAGAAGTTGTCACGAAAATACCAAAAGACAGATTGATGATTGAAACGGACTGTCCCTGGTGCGAGATCAAACCAACACACCCAGGTTATGTGCACGTGACGACGAAGTATCCTGCGGTGAAAAAGGAGAAATATTTAAATGAGCCAGCTAATATAGTGTAAGTAAATACACAATATGCGAACATATACAGGGAGGCTTTTTTAAGTGTGTCATATCTCATTTAAAACCTCTCGTAATTAATTAAATACATTCATTTGAACTTATCTCAAAAGATTCTGATTTATGGGCAACTCAATTATTTTACGTGCGATCATTACGTTTTAAAAGTATACGACGTATTTATGAATGACTACCGCATTGTCAACAAGTTCTGTTTTCTAAGGAATGGAATAGATTTTTTTTTGAAAAAAAGAAAGTTTGCTTTTACTTCAATAAACGATTATACTACCGAGTTCAGACTCCGGAGGTTCAGACCTCCTGTGTGAATTTGGGCACCTTTAGAAAAGCCAACCTGTATACAGTGCTTACGGTGTGGTACAAAAAATGACTTTAATTAATAAACAATATCACAAATACTTCATACATTCGTGTAGGTATTTTATAATCATACAAATATAAATTTTCGACGCAAACGAATATAAAGTCGCACCGTGCGTAGAATTAACGTTCTGTGATAACATAGAACGAATTTGATTTTATCGTCGTCTTAATTATTTTCTACGCTTTCATATGACATAAATTTTTTTTTCGTCCGACTTATACATATTGAGGTTCACAATAGAACAACGTTCTATCTGATTTGTGCTCCGCAGTACAAGGACATATGTACGTTTAGACACAGAAAGTCGCGACTTTCGCCTCTCGCTCCATCGCGTAGGCGAAGGTTAAAACCATCTTCGGCTTCATGATCAGATATCATATAGTGACCTTCGTTTTTTATTTTATTTTTTTACTTCTAGGGGGGCGGCAATCTACCACTGTCTATTACACTATACTCACTGTACAATTCCTTCTCCCAAGACTTCACTATGAAGACGACCTGATGTTATGGGAATACCGCCGCCCATGGACATCCGCTACACCAGAGGGTTGCAGATGCGTTGACAACCTTTTGAAAATTGTCCGGCTACTTCACTCACCAGACGAAACGCGAAAGTATTATACTTCCACTTTACGCCGGACGGATGGTTTAATTCTATGAATTGATCGGAATGATCTTCTTCGCGATCAGAATGAGAGCTTAACCATCCATTTGTATAATGACATTAAAAGCCATTTGACGGATGATTAGTTAATTTCGAAGATCATGAGTGTTTCAGGATCAGTGCATGTGTGTTTAATAGTACGCACAGTATATTTAATAGTAAAATAATTAATTACCTACTATTGTAAATTCCGAATTCTTTAGAATATTTGAACTGCCTTTAGCTTATCCTTGTTATAAATTCGTCAATGCATGTACTTAACCGGACGAGCCTGCCCATTCGTGCAACAGCCGAGGCTGCTGCGTGGCCCTACCACCGTTAAAGTGATAGGGCCACGAAATTATGTGGCAATTATGATTTAATCAGCAGAGGTAACCACCAGCATGATATCACAACTAGTAGATGCTTACTAAAACTTTTTTTTTATAGTTGTAATATCATGCAAAAGGTCATCACTATAAATATAGATAGAAAACAAATTTATTTCATAATGGTAGAATTGTTTGACCCAATTATGATTTTTTGTACATCCCATTTTGCACTTTTTTTTCAGGCAAGTTTTAGAAATACTATCAGCAGTTCGCCAGGAAAATATCGACGACCTGGCCGAAACCATTTATAAGAATACAAATAAATTATTTTTTCCATAAGTGAAATAATATAAATAAATAGTTTTTTGTTTTTCTAATTTTATTTTCTTCCTACAAATTCCAGCTTTTGGTTATTTTCTGCTTATGTAGTCTTCAATACATGTTCAAGAGAAGGTTAGGTTTCATAAATGTTGATGGTAAATTAAAGTGATATAATTTCCCAACTGGTTTATTTAATTAAAATATTAAAACACACAATCTTTCATCAACACAAATAAATAACTCTACGAAAACTATCTCTTCATAACTTCCATGTATCTTTTATATTTGTTTAGACAATGGTAGGTAACTTTATCAAAGTGAATTAAACAAAATGCAAATTTTTGAAGATATGGCTTTAAAAGGCTAAAATTGTATAAATGTAGCCAAGTAAAAAAGAAAAATCACTTCACATTTCACTGGTAATTTCATAGGTTAGATTGAATAATAGATTAATATATTTAATATTCATACCAAGAATGGAAATGACTTCATTAAATGCATCAAGAGGAATGTTAACCTGTTTTAAATACTGGTTTCCACATTACATATAGTATAATTTAAATTAAAGTTGTCATGAAAATAATTTATGAATAAAATGATTTTAATTGCCTTGATTTAAACTAAGGAGATCCAAATTGATTCGTTGTTTAATTACGATGAAAACACTACAAAAAATTTAAAATGTCATGATTACAAATAATTTTTTTTAATTTGTGCTCATTAGATGCAGACATAATTCCTTTGTTTCTGGTATAATAGGTTTTATAAGAAAGGTAAATTTAGAAATTCATCACAAAGCATAATAGTAATGGAACTACTAAAACAATTGCCTTAAGATTTGAACAGCGTTTTTGAATGTGATCATACATTTTAACTTTAACAATTAACCATGTTAATGATATATTAACGTGGTTAATTAAAGTGTCATTATACTTTTAAATGCACAACTCCAGGCAGTTTTCTTTGAAATGTGAAAAATGATGTCATGATTTCAATGGCTCTTAAAACTAAATAAAGATCGAGTCGGAACTTCTGGAAGCTGTGAAGTTGTTGAACAGATTAAAAAAGTTATTCATTACATTAGTAATTCATTCATATATTTGTAAGGCAAAAAATTAAAAAATTATTTGCCTATATGGCGAAAGTCCGAACATGAACTTTCTTCTTGATATCTTCCTTAATAATACTCTCTCTTATTTATCACAAAGAAAAAAAGCAAATAACACTGTTCTTATTAAAAATTATGGTAATTTTAAATTGTTATTATAAAAAGACTAAAATAAGATTATGCGGGGTAACAACTTCACAGGCTTACAGTTGAGATTTTTCTTAAATGGAACACACTGAGGTCTGCACTTGTGATATAAGTTTTTTTAATATCACATTTCCTCCAGGCCCTATTTTCAAGGTATCTCTGAATAAACATGAACCTGTTCCCTTAACCAGTGGAAGTATGACGACACGTGGAACTTTGTCGCATTCAATGCCACTTGTGTTTTGTTTTGTAGAATCTCCGGTGCCCACTCACCACTGAAAGTTAGAAAGTGAAATTGTAACTCAGAAATTTAGGGTTTTTGAGAGATAAAATGCTAAAAATAAAACATAAAAAAAATCATCAATCGAAAACCTAACAAAATACTGTCTGTAGAGTGAACTGATTAATATAATATTAATTATTAAAAAGAAATTATAGGTGTTTTAAACAACTTACATAAATACTTTGGTCTTCAAATATTCTGCCGTGAATGTATAATAGTCAGTCATGTACTTCTTTAAGGTACCAAATGCAGATGATGTGTAAACTTGGATATTTTCAATTAAACCAGGAGCATATTGTTCTATGGTGGCAATGACCACAGGAGTCTTTTCTGCTGCATACTCCTTCACATTATCATATAGGACGCCGGCTTTCTTAACAGTCACAATGAATACATCTTTAGAAAGTTGTGAATATGGCTTACAAAAGTCTACAGCTTGTGCATAATAAATGGGAGTGTTTGTTTCGAGCCAAATGTAGCCACGGGCTGAGGTTGATAATGTCTTTTGCCAGGCTTTTTGGGAGTGCTCTAGGATGCCTAAGTCCTTCATCAATCGACCAGTTTTGCTTTCTGTGAAAAATAAAAAATTTACCACACTATGAATAATAAAAATATAAGTAATAAAAAATAGATTGGTTGAATGCATATTAAGGTATCTTTAAAAATGAAAACATTGATATAATGTAAATAAAAATAACTGATAACCTCTGATATTTTAAGACAGATGAAATAAAAATATGCATAGGTATAGTTGTCGCACATTTTGTTTAATCAGAGTTAGAAGAGTTATTCAATTTTAAATTAACATTGATTTAATCTGTGTATGTATCCATTTCTATTTGTATTTTTGCATACAATGTCATTAATTTACAAAAAGTCAAAAAAACTTAGAATTATAATTTACCTAACTCTGTAAAACTAGTACACAAAAGTAGTTAATTAACATTTCTTATTCATAATTCAAGAGGAATTTATGAAAACATTAGAAACAGCATTTATTACTTCAGTAACTAAAATATATGGTCAAGAACATTGGTGCAACATTTATCAAAATCATCAACATTGTTTCACAAACAGAAACAATTATAATGTCGTGGGTCAGATAATTTATCAATTCTATTTGGTTGTTTCTGTCCTAGTGATAACTAGAAGATAAAACAGCAGTTAAACACCAATTATGTGATGCATGTCTATATCTACATAATTACACCCATCACTTATTACTGTAACAAAATTTTTGGGTTAATGTGGGAATAAAAATACTTACTTGGGAAATTGCCACCCGACCTAGAAACATCATATGCAACTAAACTAGCAATGCTGAGGAGAACCACAAAGCTGGCCCACAGCCATGGGAACCTTCTAGTACTTGTCATTCTGTCTAGAATATCCTGCAAAGAGTGTTTAACATATTTTAGTCACGGCTTTGGCTTGTGCTTCTTTTTTATAAACTTCACCGAAGTTACATGTTATGTTACGTAAGTACAAACTTACCACTATTGTGTGCTAAGTTTGTGGTAATATTATTTCATGAAATTAATTTGAAGGATGTATATTTAAATATGATGTATGCAAAAATCATTCTAAGTATTAACCATTTATATTATTGTGACCCAATAATTTTCTAAATACTTTTTATGTTTAAATATATAAATATAATAGTAACAGTAAGGAAAAAACTTAATTACTCTTATGAATACATAAGTTAATTGTAATTATTATCATATTATATAGAACAAAAACATAATTTATAATTATGTTTGAAATATCAAATATTGTTAAAAAGAATCTATGGATTTTTTCGCGTTAATTTCTGGTTTTATTTCCCGATATTTCGAACAATGTTTAGAGTCACGGGACGGAAACAAAAACAAAGCACTCTAATCTAGGATTCCAATATATATACAAATAGACTGATGCATTGTTTATTTTAAAATAAAATAAGCAAATGTCCAGACGTAATGTATCAATAAACATAATATTAATAATAAAAAGGAAGAAATATTAGCAATCAATAAATATTACTTGGAAATATTTACGTTCAAGCAACGTTCGTAGACAAGAATTCCATAAAAATACATCGACGCGGCCTCCCACCGAGTAGCGGATGTTACAAATCAACTACATAGGCGTTGAATAAAGAAGATATTCTAGTTTTGCTTAGTAGCAAATATAATAAAAAAAATACTTCTCCGTAGGAGTATTAAATGTTTCGGGGAAAATTACATTATTAACTTAGTATAACTAACATAAGATATTTTTAACCTATTTGGACATACCGTGGATTATTTACCGGGATCAAAGTAGCAGTGAAATACTTCGGACATAAATTGAAAGATTTAACACCTAATTTTAAAACAACAATGTCGTCTTCCCAATGTTGAATTTTTTCGCTACTGAATGCTATGAATGAAAATGAATATGAAATTAATGAGTTACGAACAGTGTTGCCAGGTCTATTTTCTTAAAATAACTAATGACAATCAAAACTAAGATAAATAATTAATGGTATTCGAATATTAAATCAATTATAATAATATAATGCACCGTTTCTGAAACACTGCACATGCACTTTAAACATGCACCGTAAATAACATTTGAAAAGCCATTTGACAGCTGACTTAGCTAGTTAACTTTATGATGAGCACTGTTTCAGAAACCGGACGTTAGTGTTTTATAAACCGGGCGTAACGTAAATCATGTTCATATACAAAATTTTTCGTAAGATACCAGATTATTTTTAGTTTTAAATCGGTGTAAAAAAAACTAGGGATTGTAAATAACAGATATTGTTGTAGATAATTATTATAATTGAGTAGATCAGTAGACCGCTGTCGAAATCAGTGAAACATAGACGTGAAATAGTAACTAGGAATGATATTGAATCGAGGGATATAACCAGTGTGGTCAGCGTAAAAATTACTTTCAACAATGATTAACCAAAGTTTGCGACAATTGATTCATAAATTAAATAGCTATTTATAATTAAAATATATATATTTATATACAATTATATATATGTTTAATTTCATTCTTAGTTATACTTGAGATATTAAAAAGAATTCTTTGTACAGCTTTTTCTAAATAAAAATTATGCATTTTAATCTGTGTATCTCCGAGCTTTAAATTTAATTTAATTTATATTTGCGAATATAATAATGTTGAATCAATAAATATCTTAGTAACTAGGACAATTTCACGTTCCTATGAATGAAAATGTCGAAACAGTGATTAGTGTATAAAGAAATGTCAGGTTTAATATTAATTAATTTATATAATATATAAAAAATACAAAAAAAAACATATGACTCTAAAGGAAAATGATCTCATACCATCTGACAAAATGTGAAGTTTTTGCGGCAAAATTTAAACACGTTTATGTAATTTGGTTTAATAATGATTACTACTACATATATTTTAATCATTAATAATTAAATATTATTCAAAAAATGACATATGGGTTACAAACTTACTGAATGTAGTTCTAGAAAAAGTGTATTAAACTACAAAATAATATATAAAAAACTTACCTGGCATATTTTATCTGCCTTCACAACTGTCTCATCCTTCTTTTTTCCCTTTAATGCATCCTTACTGATTTCTTTATATTGAATCACTGTCATTTTCAATGACCTCAACTTCAATTTTGGACTTACTTCTGCCCAGTTGCTGTCTTTAAAAAAGGAGTATATAGTTTTACTTACACTATTTTTTATTTTACAAGACAGTTTTAATTAGGACTGCTACATGGTTATTTCCTTAAATCCTATTTAAAATTATATATAAATCAAAGGGTCTTAAATGATACTCATAGAGTAAGATTAGAAAATAAAGATGTTTCTAAACTATTCATAAACATACACATACAATGGTAAGTCATAAAATGATTCTTAGGAGGGTATCAACCAGCAAACCATAAAAAACATATAATAATGTTACCGCACCAAGAAAAAAATTAATTGCTCTTTAATCATTTAAATATACTTACCAATAAAATCAAGTAGAGTAGCCGATTGTTTTGTACACTTAATGAACAGCTGTCTCCAAGTGGCATTGCAGGAATCATCTTGTCCCAAGCAATCAACTAGACTCTCCACTAGTACCCTGTTGTAAGGGTCTAATGTTGGCCCACTCAAATATTGATTCGGTAATTTCTTCATAAGTTGGTTGAAAGTGACTTGTAATTTATTTCCACTTTTCTTGAAGAATAAATCCTGAAAGTAGTCAACAGGTTGGAATTGAAACGGCCAAATAATTTATGAATGCATTTATCACAGTGGTATAATCTAAAAATCAACATCAAACCCACATTGGTTGCCACCGCCTTACATAAAAAATATATCATACCTTATATTTACTTAATTGGTTGATCAGTTCAGTAGCCATCTCCTTAGATAGGCTATTTTTCTTATTGTTAATCATATCAAACATGGCCAGCAATTGCTCCTGACTTATTTTTGTATTGTCCATCTTTCCGTGTCTATGCAAGAGTTTAGATAAGTAAGATATCACATATCTTGTATAGTTCTTCAATTCTATAATAGGAAGGAACAATTCCTGCCAGACTGTAACAAAATAGAAAATGTTCAAGTGCCTCATAAATTATTTTAAATAATATAACGGAAATAATGACAAATATTTTAAAGGTAGTAGTTTTAAGTTAAGGTATGTAGCTGACACCAAATGGCAATCTCAGTAAGAATAGCCGTCAAAGCTTTGTATAAAATAAAATTATAATTATTGTACATTTAATAATTTAAGTAAATATATTGATATAATGGTACAATTGATACTTAAATATGTTGGTACCTTAGAAAATTATAGATTCAATAACAAATAAATCCATGGATGACTATTCTCACTACATCTCTCTCTGGTGTTACTGAGATAAAATATAAGATTATCACTTGCCTTGAGAAATGTCAAAATGATAAATAGATAGGCTTATCTTGTGTCAGCTCTTATAGGTAAAAGCAAGTAATACAATGTTGTTATCACTAAGCTACTCAGATGTGATAAAGAGATTTGATTCATTATAAATAATTTACTTTAACCCTATTGTTAGTTTGCATTATTAAATTTTCCATTTGGTTTTCTATTCTTTAGCCTGACAACAGTTGTAATAAATGTCTTTAATTATAATTTTTTATTATTTAAATATTGATAAACAGTTATAATAAATTTCTTAATAAGATAACGTTAATCAATATTTAATTTTATGTAAAAGATATTTACTTAGGAAAACATACTTGTTTATGAATCCTTTCATGCAATTGGATACTTTTTTAAAAGTGAGTATTATTGATAAATTTACATTGCAAGGATACTCCAGCCTGGTTAATGTGGCCAGACCCTAGCAAGGATATAAGTGGCTGATATCTGTATTATTGCAAAAAAATAGCACTATAAGTATAACATTTTTACAATCCAAATTATACATACCTTTTATGCCAACGGCAAAGTCTTCAAGCCCACCTTGCCCATACACCCACAGTAAAGAAAGGCCAATAGGAGGTCTGTTTTGGTAAGAATTCCTAAGGCTGACACTTTTTGCTATTGACGCTATGCAGAACTCAGGATAAATAAGAGCAAGCATTTGCAGAAGTAATCTGTGCCCATTCACTGACAGACCTAACAAAACAATTATAAATATTATTTATATTAAAACTATGAGTAATAATAATCTAAGAACATATGAAGAAATTAATAAGATTGGTAAGAATTAATGCCAATTACATGTTCAAAACTCAATTACAAAGTACAAGGAGTATTTTCTACAAACCTCTACTCATATCATTAGCCAAGGCAGTAAGAGTAACATCAAAGAACAACTGGTTGTTAGCTTTTCCAGCATCATGTAAAACATTCTTCAAGCTATTCTTAATCTCTGCTGGGATAACACACAGAGGATATCTTGATGGATAGTTAGAGAAAGTAGGATCATCAACGTCTATTTGTATCTTAGAATTCAAGAAGCTTGCAATTTCCTTCAACCATACTAAGGGAGCATTTGAAAATCGGATCTTGTTAGTTGTTATTATATTCGTTAGCTCAGCTGGATCAATCTGCAGAGAATGAAATGGAACTTGCAGCAAATAATGTCCTAACAACAAGCCCCTATAAGAGGCCTGCCTCCAAATGATTTGTGTAACTTGGAGAATATATATTTTGCCATGGTGAAATAAAAAAAAACCTTATCAAACTACTTTATTAATTGAATGGAAGTTGAATACGTAACCTGTTATGTAAATGCTTGCTTAAGAATCTGTGGTAATAGCTAGCAATAAAATCTACCCTTCACTTTTATTTTATACAACAAATATGAATGTAACCATTTCAAAGTGTTACATGTAAGGTTACAGAATAAAATATTGAAATTAAAAATATAGCTTTCAGAGATTACACAACATTTTGTCCTAATTTAATTAAGATCATATAACTTTATTACTTATAAATTTTACTTGTTTAAGTACTATACAAGCAAAATTTATTGGTCCTTTAAATATTTTTTATCAATATAAAAATTGTGAATATTGGCAATAATAATCAATTATGTACACTATAGTATTTGCTATACTTACCGCTTCTAAAGCACCTTCTATGGTTTTGGGTGGTTTTGGTTTCGAGGCTTCGTTCTTTTTATCTTGTTGCTTTTTTGCTTTTTTCTCACCTTCCTTCTTTTTGTCTTTTGGCGGTTTTTTAGTATCGTCTATTTCCATGCCCGCGTAAAAAGATTTTATTTGGGAGTGGGGAACTAAAATTATGAAAATTAATACGATTTCGCCCAAAATTCCTTATTCATTCAAAATATTAATTTTACATACCAATATCTTCCAGCTTAAGCAAGTTTTTCGGACCTTTTTTCTCTTCATCCTTGGCATTTTTCACCTTACCATTTTGGGATTTTTTGCTTTTTCCAACAACTTCCCATTGACCGCTCGACATAATTACAGTAATTCACACGGTAAAATCCTGCGATTTTTTAATTTTTGGTAAATAAAGGGGAAGCGACAGGTTACACGTCAAAAACAAATCAAATAGTAAAAATGTCAAATCGTAGCCAACGGCCTCTCATTGGTCAAAAAATTCCACTTGGCCAAAACGTGGCAGAGTAATTTTAAATACATTTCGTTGTACGCTTTCATCATTAACAAATCGTATCATGATATTATCGTGAACACTGTCGAAAATCTAGGTATTAATTATGAATTAGCTCTTTAAGCCTGTATTCATGAATAACCTGAGTTCAAATCTCGGACTAATGAAATAGTTGATTGCAAATTTTGGACTTATCACGTGCTGAAGGGTGAAAAAAAACATCATGAGGAAATCTGTAGTTATATTTCGAAATACTACCTTTGTACTATAATTATAGTATTTGTACTATACTTCATGCTTCGTACTATATACTATCCATTCATAGGGATAGTACGGAAAAATAACATAATTTCGTTAATTTACATAAATGTCAAATATAACTGCCAATACAAAAAAGGGTTTATTGGGTTATAATAACGTTGTAATGTTTTTAAAACAATACAAAAGTCCACATGTCATTGTGAATTTTTACCACGGATTATAAATAATCTAAAGAATACGAAAATAATCTAGAGTCATAGAATGCCTTCAATTAATAAATCTTAATTGGCTAGGGTATGAGTGTCGGACCCTAAATTAAGTGCGCCACCTCCTGAAGCTCATACGAGAGTACGTGTTGAAACGTTGATTTTAATTTCGAGTCAACGGAGAAGGGATCGGTATTTTTCCCGCCTCCATACACGAGCCACATTCGAGTTGGCACTATTTCTTGAATGTTAGATGTGGCTGATGGGATCGCTCTCAAACCAAAAAGACACTTAAGGACTGATAAGAAAACTATTTATTTGAACTTAAACATTTTGAACTTATTTTAGACCAAACGTAATGATTATGAAATTTATATAAAATACAGGAGTCATGTCAGATAGCTAGCCATGTTACATCTTCAAACGATTTTTACGGAATCAATCAAATATGACACAATTCAGTCTGAACAAATAAAACTATCATTCCAAATTTAATTTAAAGTAATTCAAACATAATACATAAACCAAACAGGTCAGAGTTGACATCAATAGAGTATCTGAGATTACCAATCAACACTATTAGCCAACAACACAGCCCTATATGCGACTAACAAAACACGGATTGTTGTGTCTATAACCTGCACTAAATGCACTAGGCGAATGATTTAGAAAGTGGTAGATCGAGGTCAACCCGGAGAAGAGTAAGACAATCATTTTTAATTGTCACTCGGACTGTTACAGAAAGAAAAAAACTCCCTCTTGTCTATAGCACTGAAGCCAAGTGTCTGTTTCGCGTAAATCCCCGCCAATCAACCAATAATAAACCATTTCAAGTGATCGAATACCGATTTCTTCATTCAGCACCCGGCGCCCCATGGTTTATGCGTTGAATTGTATCACGACCTAAAATAACAAATTTGTCGACAATCCTTACAGACTCGTGGATTAGAAAAGTAACACGTATAATCAATTAATCACCGCCCGAAATGCGTAATGTGGCACGAAACGCGTAAATTTACAAACACACTCTGGCAATAGTCTCCCGAACGGGTTATTGTCTACCGATGCATTGGCGCACCTAGGGGGGCACAAAACGCGTAAAGTACTAAACACACACCTAGTTTAATATACTTAACGACGCGCGTGTGTGGAGACCCCGATCATCAGCGTAGACACGATACCCCCGTGTGTCAGACCGCTTTTGAAAAATGGTTATCGGAAACGACTCCAGCGATTTTCATGAAATTTAGTATTTGCGTAGATTCGGGGGCGAAAAATCGATCTAGCTAGGTTTCATTTTTAAAAAATGCCCTTTTATCCCTGTTTTCAGGGAATGAAAAATATAATTCGAATATGACGGTAAAGCCGCAAGAGAAAATGTCATAATAGCTCGGTCGGTAATCGGGCGGCCCCAAAACAGACGGCCGTGGTTCGCGTCACGATCATTGCTTTCTTTATTTTTAATTTCTTGTCAATTTGTTATTTTGTTATTTTTTCCCTTTTTTTTAAAGTTCTTTCTTTTGTGAAAAACATCAGTTCATATTTTCTTATTATTATGTCGGTAAGATCGAAAAATATTATGCATATTTAATTACTCAGTAATTTGTATCTAAATGTAATTTCCAAAATACACGATTTACCAAAAAAAAAAAAAACAAACCGAGCAAAGCTCGGTCCTCCGGGTACTGTTATTTAATTGCGAGTCTATACGTACACTCGTTTGATAATCACGCAATTACTTAAGTATGAAATTGTTTATTTCTAAAAATGTATCGGTTCCCAGGTTGATTTCATTACTTAATTGTTTTTGTAAATTACTTGTTTTTTGTATTTTAATTTTTGTCCTATTACTCGACGTCTCGTTACGATTAAAGTATGTCTCATGATTAAATCGTAATTTTAACCTTACTACTTCTTTTGGATAGGTTCCACCATCGATGGTGGTTCAAGCCGTGGGTCGAACTACTCTAAGAAGGATTCGGAGGATACCAGGGACATCACGAGACCCTTGGATCGTGCCGTGCTCCCTTTTGTTAATTAAATTATCAATTTTTGGCGGAGATGCATGGATGATGGACGGTGTCACTGTCTTTGTATCGTGGACTCATGGTCGAAAATTGTACAAGTTTTTAAAACATTTTTATAACTTCAGACATTGATTTTCTGGATGAAAATCAACACTGTCGATTTTTATTGATACTATGGTACTAAACTAACAGCCAAGCCAATCCGTCAAACGTGAAACGTCAGTTACGCTTATGTCGTCTCTGTTTATGGTTATGATTCTCGTGTAATGCATGTGAATTGTAAAAATAACAAATATTCATTTACTCCATACCTAGCGCTGATGTTGTAATAAATAGTATTAATTTGGTTCTAAATTGCTATTAAAAATGGAAGATAAATTAATGCTAGACGATGTGTATAGCACTTTAAGAGAGAGGGTGTTTTTCGCTGCAAGAGATGGAATGTCGTTAACATTGTATGCTTTGTTATATGAAAAAAACACAGATGAAATTGACGATTTGCTAAATAGCGTAAGTACTTATTTATTAATCTTTTTTCTTTTTAAAATAACTATAAAAATATGTTTCATATTTCTACACCTGCGTTAATTTTTTGACGCAGTCATGTCATTTAATTTCTATTTATATCGACATAAATCGTTTCCTTTTGCGTGTCATGCAAATGCGTGTGCGTTATTCAAAAATTTTCTGGATGGCATGCAAGAAATTGTCGAGGTTAATAAGTCTTCTTTCTATTTATTTGTTATCAAGATGGCCTTGAACGTTTGGCACAATCAGTGCTTTGAACGAAATTAAACACAAGTAGTTGCTTGGTCTTCCATTTTTTCCTTATAAATGAAAACATATCTTAGTGTGTAATAAGTTCCTAAACCTTGAGCACAAACTGAAAGTGAAACTTAATATCTTAATCTCCACAAAGTAAGCAATTAAAAAAACATTGTTTCATAAAAGTTTGAAATTATGCCAATGTTAAAATGTGAAAGAAAAATATAAAAAAGTTAAAATTAGACAAAGGTAACTAATGCCATGTTCTTTTATTTAAAAAAAAAGAAAGAAATGGTAATTTGCCATTGTGGCACATACATAATTATGATTGAAAATCTTATATCCACTATTATTATATTTAGTAAAATTGACACTATACATTATTATTAAATTCTTTCACAATTGAAGTAAATACCTTAAACCACATCTTCTTGCATTAGAATAAAGTGAGTGTGAACTTACAATTTTTATAGAATTTTTGGAATTTAGTTTTTTCAATTTTATGATAAAACCTCGGTAGGTTTTTTTGTTAATTTCTTGTATTTACGTGAATATTATTAATGTTTCAATGAAAATATTTTAAGGGTTTCATTGCATTTTATTTACATGAACATAAGTTATATTTCATATAATGTTTTTCTGCAAATAGTGTTTTTATTTGAAGCCAGTTTAATACAATGATGGATCAAAACTAAACATTCTTTAAGATCATTCATATACAAAACAAACACTACCTGGTGTTTTTACACCTTTATTATTGTTTGGGTTTAAGTTTTTAACAAAGAATTTTATAATATTCTCAGTAGGAAAGAATGCTTTCAATGTATCTAAATAGTGAGAATTCTCAAAATAATTTTCATCATTCAAGTTTTGGTTGAATCTTGCAAAATCAATATAGTAACTTAAATCAGTTATTTCATTTCTGAATGTTTGATGAAAATTTGTTGAGAACTCTTTTTAAATCTTTTTCTATCTTCATTTCTGTTCCAAATACATGGTTAAGGAAATTATTGACATGTCAACAAACTTAATATTATTACTGTTTAATCTATTTATATCACATGTCTTTCTTTACCAGAACCACATGTGGAAACATGTCATTGACATTGTATTCTTCATTTTCTTATTTTTGTTTTGAATATAATCTTTGTTTTAGTTTTTTAAGTGCTAGCTTTCATTGATTTTTTTTATTTAATGAGCTTTTATACAAAATTTTAACTGTTTTTTTTATGCTGTGTTCTGAGGACCAAACTTAAATAATAATAATAAAAGCTTTTATTCAATGACCATCTTACAACTGAGGACTAAACTACTTTATGTGAAATTGCATTAATCCATTTAGGTGATGAACACATGGCATAATAGGTATACTCACAAAATATTGCATTTATCATAATAGTGTCTTTACAGTTTGCTAACACGTATTTACATATTATATTAGAATATTTGATTTCAGGATGTATGTAGTGATGGAGTAAAATGTACCCCTCTAATAGCTGCGGCTCGCCATGGACGAGAGGCAGCCGTAAGAATACTTTTAGAAAAGTTTAGACCGCCTGTCAGATTGGAGACAGAAGGAACAGTAAAGTTTGACGAATATGTTATTGAAGGTTTGTGTTACCTTGTAAGATAAAATTTTAGTTTTTGGTCAATGTCTTTAATACTGTTTGTTACTCCCAATTAAATATAGTATTTAAAGTCAAATTCACACAGTCAAAAGGAAACTATAATTAATTATAGATATGATAACAGCATTGAGAAGTTATTATTAGTTACAACTTCCGATATGGGTTGTTTACAATCTACAATTGCGCAAATTCATTTGTAGTCTGCATTATTAAAATCACTGCTGAGTCTAACAACAACTGCTGGAATTCACTAGACTTAATATATTTTTGATTTCTCATTGAAAGTTATGTATTGCGTTTCATTTAATATCACTGTTATGGCGATGCAAAATTATTTTTGGATGCACAACAAAGACGCTCCAATCAAAGCTTTACGGAAAGAACATTGACTTTAATCGTTATTCCCGTGATGTGATATATTTAGTAACACACTTTGTGCGTACAGAGGAACTGGTTGTATTTGGGTATGTAGTACTATATTGCCCATAAGTTTTGGGTTCATCTGGGACAAATTGAATTTTTGTTTGTTATGTTGACCGGGTGGAGTTATTGTTGAGTTGTTCGGATATTTTCTGGTCTTCTTATCTGATAAATGATTATGATTAGTCATTGCATCATGTGGTCAAATTGTTGCCGCAAAAATATACATTGTTCGGTCACATTTAAATTCAGAATGTTTGGTGTAATTACACTTAAAGAAATTTCATTCAAATTTCAGTTGCTTTGACAAAGAAATGTTCCTTTCATTATCCCTTTGTCTCGATAAAAATCCTGTGATTTTCCATCCCCGGGCTTGTTGCCCTAGGCACTACTTTTCGCATCTGGCACTTATCCAGAAAGTTCTTTGTTCCCTTGGTATGATGACTTATCGCAATTAATTCGCAGTAAGGTGTATATAAATTACTTTTGTGTTGCGTTACGATGCAGACACGTGTCCGGATCGTCACCGCGTCCCGTGCTTCCCTAAAATCGAAAGTGTCAATTTGCTTCAAATAGATTATGACAATCTGCGCGGGAATCTGTTTGAATTCAGAAACGGATTCGTTCATAGTTTTTTTTTGTTTTGTGTTTTATCCGTCACATGGCTTTTAAAGTTATTGACGAGATTTATATCGAGTGAACAAAGTGAATACCCAGAGCTTGTATAATAGTGACATGTATCAGTAAAGCCTGGTAGGTTTGATTTCGCATCAACCAAAGTAAAAAAAATATTAAATGTAATGAATTATTGAATCAGCTACTTACCTTGATTTAAGAGCATTTATTATTAAAATGCTCTTTACAGGTTAAATTTGGTTTTATTTTAAATATTTTAAGCTTCTCTACCCTGAACAGTAATACAGTTTAAAGCACTCCCATTGTGCGCTTATTTGTAAAAATAATTTATTTCTATGTCAATTGTAATCTATGACAACAAAGAATTCGAACTCATGCTATTTTTAGTCATTCTCATTCCTAAAATTGTGTATTGAAATAGTTTATAAATAATCTTATGGCAGTGTTTATTTGTATACCCAATCTTCTGAACTTGACAAAGTTTTCTAATCCCTGTGGCACGTTGCGACGTTCGTAAATAGTACCTTATTTCTTTAAAGAATTAGTCTAATAAAAAAATGGAGCCTGTGCTTTATATAATGTGTAACAATCATAAAGTATAATTTATTCAAATGTACCTCATTAATGGAACAAAGATAACAATTCTTCAAACTCGTGGGTTGTGGTGAAGCTGAAAACATCAGTTCAGTAGATGACAATGACAGCAAAGGTGCTTAGAATAGAAAAAAAAACGAATTCGCGCGCTTATTCGTTTTTTTTTCTATTCTAGGCGCAACGGCTCTATGGTGCGCCGCCGGGGCGGGCCACTTGGGCATAGTCAAGCGGCTGGTGCGCGCGGGCGCGAACGTGAACCACGCCACGAAGACGCTCAGCACGCCGCTGAGGGCGGCCTGCTTCGACGGCAGGCTGGACATTGTCAAGTATCTGGTGCGGCACGGCGCGGACATACACAAGGCGAACAAATACAACAACACCTGCCTCATGATCGCCGCGTACAAGGGCCACTTGGACGTGGTGAGTTGTTTTTAAATCAAAATAAACATATTTAAATTAATAAATATTTATTAATATTTTAGGTCACATTTTTACACAACATTTTCCAGTCCCAAACTAAGCAAAGCATGTACTATGGGTACTAGAAAACTGATAGACATACTTAAACATAATTTTCTTTTGTAAATGAATACATTTTATACATATATGAACAACTAGACACTAGAAAAACACTATGTTCACCACCCAATATTTTTCCAGTAGATGGGATCGAACCCACACCCTGTGGTGCAGGAGGCAGGTACAGTACCTACTACGCCATTCGGGTCACACAGACGCTTGCTAGTTCTTATGAAACGTCAAAATTTTACATAAAAATTAATACGTTCGTAAGTTACCAAGTTGTTGTTGTGTTTAAAGGAAATGTTAGCAGGCGAGCGGCCGGTACATCTGTTGTTGAGTGATTACCGCCGCCCATGAGCATCTGCAACACTGGAGTGGTTTTAGATGTGTTGCCAACCTTTACAAAAGCGGTCCATCGATCTGTAACAACGGAATGGTTGTAAATTTGTTTCTAAGTTTTAAAAAAGTGATCTTTATCCTCTAGATGCACAACCGCCACTTTTTAATGCAATCAGTTTGATTTAGACCTTCGCGGTCACACGCGCGATTTAAGCTCTGAGTTTGCTGATTCTGTGTTTTTAATCTTTACTAGGGCTGCGTGGCTTTCATTGAGTGCGATATCCGTGGTTATCGAACTCATTTGACTAAACGCATCGGAGTTGCTTTTCCGGCAACGCACCTGCAACCCATCCGGTCGCGATATCATTGCGGTGAAAATAATAAAAAAAAAAGAAAAATAAATCGCGGCAAAGAGAAACGCGGCACTTGATCCCAACCGTCGTTTTTAGAGTCGAGTGCTGTATCGCTTTTGTGTGTGCGTGGCGCAGGTGACGTAAAAGTGTCGGCCTCTCTTCAGGTTCAGTTCCTGTTGGACAGCGGCGCTAGGGTCGACGAGAGGGCGCTATGCGGCGCCACAGCGCTCCACTTCGCGGCCGAGTGCGGCCACGCGGCCGTCGTCTGCTCGCTAATAGACCACAACGCGAAGATGCTCGCGAACGAGAACGGTGAGGGTTTGCAGGAACGCAGGGGGACTTCAGATGTCCGACAGTTCGTGGGCAAAAGGGCACCTGGGAATCCGCTGAATGGTCCAGCGCGTCACCTGGTGGGGAGGCGAGTTGCTCCTCGTTGCTGCTGAAGCAGGGTCGTGGAAATGTGCGAAGGCGTTCACGTGTCACTACCCATATGCGACATAGGTGGAACATCGTGTAACGGGATTCGGAACACCAATCTTTCTATTTCGATGGAGATGATGCTCAAGGGTATCGTGTCCATAGCTGTATATTTGTGACTAACGGTCTTCTGGCTGGTTGCCATCATCGTTTCAGCATGTTCTAGTCTTTTGAAAATTGGCCTCCCCCCTACGGAGCACGTAAGAAAATTTGCTTGCTTTATATACTAAAACAATCATAACTTCAATATTATAGAACGTTGGAACATAACTAAAATGAAATTTCACTATTCATTATTTACACGTAGCTTGAAAGAAATTACATATTTTATTATTGTCACCGGCTTTTTTGTGGGTTAGTTAAAACATAGAACTTTTCTCTTGGACTTCTATTGTTACATACAACATTTATTTTCTTTCTGGAGTGGTGATGATCACCCGCAAAAATTACCAGATTGGGTATGGTGTAAGTATGTGTTACTACTGGTAGTGTGGTGGTGCTACCGGTGGTGTGGTGGTATGATGGTGGTGGTGTGCTGATGAGTGTTCTGTGCAGGCATGACGCCGCTCCAATGCGCCGCCGAGAGGGCGCGCGCCTCCGTGGTGGAGATGTTGGCCTCAAGGCCAGAAGTGACTAGAGCCCAAGCGATAGAGGCCTACGAACTCCTGGGCGCCTCCTTCGCCAACGACAAGGAGTACTACTGCCTCAGGGTGGGTTCCATATAGACTTCACTTTTGTTCTTTCTGGGCGCGAATCCCGAACACTTGGGTTCGATTCCCACAGCGGAGCAAAGCTTTTAGTACTTATTTTTGCTAGGATCCTAAATTGTGTTACATTTTAAATATATATATATATAGGGATAATGTCTCACATATAAATATCTCAATGAATAAATTGATTAAATTATCTTAATAAACAAGCAAGTTACTAATTACCTATCTGTAATATACTAAATATTACATCCATATATTAGTACCATTCGCCAATGAGATTTTTCATTACGCTATGCGAGTTATATGCTTCTTCCATTGTGCATATTTGTCAAAGTCTTACAGAACAGGCGTAATTTAATATAACATCACTGTACAATACAATACAATAAAATATCAGCCTATTCCGTCCACTGCTGAACGTAAGGCTTACCTTCATCACTATACATAGCTATAACTATTTGTCTACTACTGCCCTATATTTGGCTCCACGCAACCTCTTCATCAATTTTACGAAACTGTGTGTGCCCCTACCATCATCCATACATCTTGTTCTTATTTGTTTTGTATAATATGGAATATTGACATACCAATGAACATTTACTAAATTTTCAATTTCCCCGCCAGATGGCGTACCAGTACCTGCATAGGGCGATGGCGATGCGCTACGACACACGCTACGGTCTCCTGCTAAAGAAGCCCGCCGAACCAATACCGGCCTACGACAACTGGAGGGAGAGCACAACCCTTGAGGTGCAACACTAACTATCCAATAATAAGCAAGCTCAACAGTCCCGCACTAAGAACATAACACATGCATTTTCTAGGGTTGTCGGCAATGAGAAAAAAAATCGATACATCGGGTCTAAACCTTTGTTCAAAAAAATAAGCTATGTCAATTAACTACTGCCAGATTAGAATTTAAAAATCTGCCGTAAGACGGTCACTGTTGAACGTAAGCTTCCTCCCCTTTAGAACGCCACAACGAACGGCATTTGCATTCACCGGTTGCCCGCGACGCCTTCCAACGCTACGTCTTCCGGTTCGTGTTTGCCACTCGAGAGATTCAGGATCAAAATATATCGGCCAAAGTATAGATATATCGAATCAAATATATCGATATACCACCAATGTATCGATAATTTTTTGACGCAACACAATAGCGGATTCGCCGTGCACTCACTCCGCCGCAGTATACGAGTTACCGAGTGAACGACGTCTTTTATTATCATTCTGGTATCTAGAGTGAATGTGTTTTTTTTTCCTTGTGATACCGAGAGTCGTTAATTACGTAAATTGTTGAATTACGTAAATTGTTGAATTACGTAAATTGTTGAATTACGTAAATTGTTGAAATACGTAAACTGGTAAATTTCGTGAATTGGTAAATTTCGTGAATGGGTAAATTACGTGAATCGGTATTATAACGAGTGAAGAACGCACCGCGTCTCGTGCAGGAGGTGGAGCGGCTGCACGGGAACGCGCACGCGCTGCACATGGAGGGGCTGGCGGTGCGCGAGCGCGTGCTGGGCCGCGGCTGCCCCGACCTGCCGCACCCGGTGGTCTTCCGCGGCGCCGTGTTCGCCGACGAGGCGCGCTTCGACCGCTGCCTGGCGCTCTGGCGGCACGCGCTGCAGCTGCGCCACCGCAATAGGGTGCGCCCCACCCCCGCACGCCACTTGCTCGCATCTTACTCGCATCTTACTCGCTCCTCACTATTCTCACTATTCTCACTATTCTTCTCTCACCACACCCTCTATCTATTTTTCTGCCCACGCCTTACTCGCTCCTTTACACGCTTCTTACTACGCTCCTGTCACCACTTACCCTCTCTACCACATTTCTTTCGCGCACGCTCTTACTTTTCTTACTCGCTCCCTCTCACTTACCCGCTCACGCGTCTTACTAGCGCTCTCTCAGAATCCAAACTCGCCCCTTTTCTCTTACTCGCCACCTCTCATGCCTGTTACTGGCCCCCTCGCACGCCTCATCCTGGCGAGTATCTACAAAATTTTCAAATACGCTCTACGCAAAAACCTGCATATTTTCATAATAATAATACAAATATTTCTGAGATATTTGATATCTGCCAATACGCAGTGGGATCGCGTGGTAGACTACGCCCTAATATCCTCTGTACAGAGGAGGCGTCTACATTGCTGTGTGACAAATAGACTGTTTCTTAACTTTTCTACATGAAGATTTCATTATCCACAGGTGTCAGTCGTGAAAGACCTGTTAAGGTTCGCGCAAGTCTTTTCACAAATGATTCACATCGGCATCGAGTTGCCTCTGAAAGAGGTTAGCTGACATTTCTTTTGTTATTACTGTTAGTAAATTCAATAAAATTTCACGATTGTATTTGTATGATTAATATTTCAGGTGTGTTTCGTTTTGGAAGCATGCGCAGAGGAATTGAAAAGGGGCCAGTACAGGATAGAAAAACCCCAGATCAACCATGACCCCGAGGCATTGATAGTATGTAACAATTCTTTATCAGTTTGATACCAATACTCATTTGTTCCCATTATTTAGTATACATAGTATGGTATTTTGTTATTCACTAATAATGGTAATGTTCTGTCTAAGTTTATTACTATCTTTGATAACTTCTCCCCTATTGTAGAATATGTAAATAAAGTGACCAAAACGATTTAAACATTGAAAGCTAGTATGTAATAGCATGTTGTCTTAGTTAGATGTTCAAAGGAATAATTTAATGATAGTAAAAAGCATTTTAATCATTATATGAGTCTTTTGTTTTTTATATTGACTTGTGCAAATTATTTGATGTTGGTAAATAGTTGAGATTGTTTAACAAAGTATAGTTTTCGAAAATTTAACTCGGTGTTTGCGTGTAGTCCAAGTAATCATCGAATTATATAGTAGATAGTAATAATATAGTGGAATGTCTTGAATATAGTTAACTGTAATGCATTTTTTTCTTATTAAAGTAAACTAATTGTTTTTTATAGTTAATTTCGTAATTTTGATTTAACTAATATAATAACTGTTATTAATAGTCAGATAGACAATGATATGTTTATTTCGTTTTTTGTTGGTATAAAATTATAAGTGTTATTAGATGTAATTGATTGTATAAAGTTGTCTACGGAAAAAGTTAGATCAATTGTAAATATTTATGTTGTATATGTATATAATTATTTACGATAGTGGATCACCACTTAAGCTCGTACATACACTAACCTATCATTCATACTTGGCCGTGCTCACACTTGCGAGGCAGCAACAAGCACAGTTTTTCATTGGAAAAAAACCTTTGTAGCAAAATCACTGCAACCCAAAAGTTTCAGAGAAAAATTTGAGGTATTTCAGCATTACTGAATATATATGTTTCAATAATGTTTCTACAAAATTAAAAAAGCTGATGTCATTTTCAAATGGGGTAGATAATGATTCACTGCCTTTACCAACGATGGTGATTAGCATACTGTCCTACGCTGTTAAGATAGTGTATTCCCATTTAAGTCACTCTCAGTGTATTATTTTTTCTATTTAGATTTTGGGAATTTTGCAACCTTTTTAATGTTGTCAATGCCATTCAAGTTATTTTATTATATCATAGAGTAAAAAATAAAGAACAAATGTATAATGGACCACTTTCATGCCGGTCACTATCCATCATAGAATCAGACAATTTTAAGAGATCTATGAAAGTCTTATAAATAAAGGGCTCTATGATATTTAACTTATCGACGTTGCCCCATTCGGTATTCGATATATCTGCATGGGTTAGCGGTTGGGGGTGGGGTGGGGGTGCACATCGGTGTGTTACAATCCGTGGGGTGGTTTTGGGTTTGTGCTGTCGCCGTGTAGGAGTGTGCGCGGCCGAAGGGCGCAACTAGCGTTGATCGTCAGAGCCTGGCTCTCGCTTTCACCCTCCAGGAGGAGTACGAGAGCAACGTGCGCACCGCACTCTACCTGTGCGCGGTGGCCGCGAGGCTGCTCGAGGCGGACCACGACGAGGTGAGGACCGCTCCCAGCTCTTTTATAGCATAAACGAATGTGTTGTGTATGCGTGTGTGTGTGCGCGCGTGTGTGTGTGTGTGTGTGTGTGTGTTGGTGCCGGCAGCGGGGAACGAACTCGGGTTGCTAGAGTACATTGAATTGGCGGCGAGCGCTCGGACAATGAGCTATCATGGCTTTATATTCTTTTGTGTAACAAAAGAAAAATAACTAAAAATTTTATCCCATTGTACTTCGTTTTTGAAAAAAAGCATTACGTTTGGGAACGGTTTGATTAAATAACTTCATAAAGTAAAAAATTGCTATTGGCTGCCATGGCAACACCAGGAAGTTGGTGTCGCTTCAAGGTGTCGCGCTTGAATGTATTGTCTCACGCTGCCCTTTATGCTGCCAATAGTTGCGTCGCATTAACCTAAGCCCTCGATTACTGCAGGAAGGCAGATGCGCTGTGCGGCGCGCTGTTTTCGGTTTGCGGAGGGCCCGTTTGCGCAGCGGCCAAACCCTCCTGCACTTGGCGGCCGACCGTCGCACGCCCGTAGACGACTTCCACACCAGTGACGTCTGCCAGTAAGTAACCCCCCCCCCCCCCCCCCCCCTAACCACTTCGACTCTTTAGTATTTTCCCTACATCCCCCCCCCATGCCAGTAATCACTGACACTCCATCCACTCCCCCCACTCCCACACCCAATATACGCATATCAATAATTAACTTGGCTACAGTCGTTGAATACCAGCCATCTTGTCACACTTGCTATAACTTCGTCCTCCGCCATGCGGGTAGGTTTTCAAGAACTCCACTCGTCCACTCGTGAAAGAGTCTTAGTGGTCACCATTGTTAGTCTTGTGAAGGTTATACTAGCAACCGTGCTAGGACCACGCGAAAGTTGTTGCACGGCGGGTTCGTTCGGGGAAGTACCACGACCTCACAGAAGACCGCCGTCATAAAAGAAGGATGGTACATATACTGACTGCATTCTTGCAGATTCCCCTGCACGCGGACCACTCGTCTGCTGCTGGAATGCGGTCTGGAGGTTGACCTGGCTGACGACATGAGGCGCACTGCTTTGCACGTCGCTCTCATATCCTTCCAACTCATACCCGGTGAGTCAGCAATATTGACATTGTCAACAAATGGTTACTTCATGAGTCCCTAATGACGGATCTAAAATTCTTGATACTTTAAAACATATAGAAAAAGTACGAAAAGATTGTCGCCGCTGTGGGAATCGAACCCACGTCTTCGGCATTCGCGGCCTGACGCTCTAGCTACTGAGCTAAACGGCTGATTGTCACACCGACGAATTAGCACTATAAAAAAAACTTTAGAATTCTTGATACTTTATAATTTAGGACATATAACTTCGACTTCCCTTTCCCTGAAGTTCCAGACAATACGCAACCTTTTAGAGCAGCATAGTATACAAAATGTACAGACATATTTAGATTCAGATATGTATTGATATCTGTTTTAAGCTATTGCTTAGATATCAATACATATCAGCTATTGCTGATTGCTTTGAAAGGTGGTAACGCATCTGCCATCCCAAAGGAGTTGTAGATGTCCACAGGCGGTGGTAATTACTTAACATGGGGTTAATCAACTTCTCACACAAAAAAGAGTAAACTGCTTAATCAGCGGCGGGAACGAGTGGGAAAACCCCACGCACCACTACGTCATCTAAATGAATTGTGTACTGTTCGATGTCTTGGACAAATTGGGTGAATTACATAAATCATCATCAGGCGTAATCACGATTGCGACTGCAGACGACAAAAAATATGAAACGGCTTAGATAGCAGCGGGAACGGCAAACACCTCCTCACTCTGCCGTGCATGTAGCATGACTTGTAGCATCCATGACTTGTATACTGTCCAATGTCTTCGACAAACTTGAGCGAATTTCTTAGGTTCGAAGCCTGGTGCGATAAAGATTGCATCTGCAGACGGTAACACCCCCCCCCCCCCCCCTCAGCCGTTCTTGTAGACGTCATCCATGAATCGTGTACTGTCCAATGTCTTGGACAAACTTGGGCGAATTTCTTAGGTTCCAAGCCTGGTGCGATAAAGATTGCGTTCGCAGACTACTCCCTCCCCACTCCTAAATACCCCCCTCAAACGGTGCATGTAGCCACCACGTCGTCCACGACTCGTGTACTGTCAAGCGTGTCGGACTGAGTAAGGACGGGTCGCCGCGTCCGCAGACGACCAGCAGCAGTGGAGCGAGTCGCTCTGCGGCGTCGTGTGCGAGCTGCTGTCGCGCGGCGCACACGTGGACGCCGTGGACAACGACGGCATCACGCCACTGCTCGCCTCCATAGGGGGTAAGCACTACTCGAGTGTCTCTGTTGCTCTCGCGCATATGTGTCGTCATCATCCCATTGGAATAGGAATGGGTGTGTTGTGCTTTTGCCAAAATGAAATTACAACATGACATCACAAAGCTCTATCATCATATGACTTATGTTGAGTGCTATCGTTATTTATCGAAGACAGGGTGTTATGTGTACTCGAGTGGCAGCCCCGTAGGGCCATCGCAGTGTGGTACGACCCCCAGTGGGTGGAGTGGCGACCTGTGCAATTGTGCGGGCAGTCGATGCTTCACTTTCACAACGGGTTCAGCCCACTAATCCCCTGTGCTGTCGGAAAGAAGAAGTGTAAATTCGAAAATGAAAACCACCAATTTCCGAACGCAGGGCCGGCCGAGGGCCTGGTGCGCGCGGCGCTGCGGCCGCGGCTCTCGTGCCTGGCGGCGGCCGCGCTCGCCGCGCACGGCGCCACCTACCGCCCGGCGCAGGTGCCGCGCGACCTGCACGCCTTCCTCGCGATGCACGGCGTGCGCGCCGCGCGCTAGCCGCCGTTCGCGCCCAAATCTGACAGCCGTTGTCAAAGGTCTACCTTTTTTTTTATTTAACGTCCATCGTTTTTACTCTTTTTTTCTTTCCGGCCGTGATGTCAAATCTTTTTTTTTTTTTTATTCATGCGACTTTTTTTTTGGTTGTATAGACTTTTTATTGTACTCGTTTTATACTATATGTACAGTTACCTAACATTATGTTTACTAGATGTATTCCGTTGGCCTATTTTTATACGCCGGTAGTTTGGATTTGGTTTTGGTTCGATGGAATAGGTTCCACATTAAAATGTCGCCACTATTTATATAGTAGTAATGATTGTCATCAAGCAGCGAAAATTTCGACATAAATTATATGGGATGAATAAACTTGTATTAATTCATCTCTTAAAAGAATATCTTTACATTATTACTATTCAAAAGGATAGGCAGTCACGGACAATATGTATTGAATTGAATTGGGTAGGTTTAATTATTCAAGACTAAATGAGGTGGACCTTGTATGTAAATTATATTATTTTCTTACATTATGTAAATATCAGATAAAATTGACGTATTTTGACATATTGCAATATTTTAAAAACATTTTCAAATCAAATAGAGAATTTTTTCTAATCAATTCTTTGAAGTTAAATCAAATTAGGAATTAATTTGATTAAACTTCAAATAATTCTTAAATCTCCCATTGCAAAGCGGAATTACTTAATTATAATCCTAGCAATATAAGAGATATCATAATGACTATAAATAATCGATAACATCGAGGCTCTATGATTGTAGAGAAGTGTATAATTTTACTATGATGTAGTTACGCGCCATACAAGGGACGTTTTTCGTCCGCCATTTTGACGTAGCGTCCATTTTGTGTTCGATAGAGTACGGCTGTCCGATGAGAACCACGGCTGTTAGTTGAAAATAATATTTTTGCATACGATTACTGCGTTATGACATTGAATGGTTAATATTTTTTTAATATTTGGCTGCAGTTTTCATCGTCGCATCAAGCTATTATGTGTTAGATGAAATGTTAATGAACGCATTTATTATAACAAAATGACGTGTACATACAGACAGAACTCATATATTGAGTGCTATTGTTATTGAACACAGGGTGTTATGTGTTCAGATAACGATATAATATGTGTATTTAATGATGTTTAACACACCGAGAAACGATGGCTCAAACGATTACTATGTAATAACTATGTCTGCGCTACTCGTTTAGCAATGACTGTATGTGATAATATAGATTGTAATTTTAGAATAAGTTTTAGCGATATTACGAATGTAGCGCACCGCATAATACTCCTTAAGGGTAATTACGGCTTACTTACGGCCATATTTTGAATGACCCAAAAGCATATTCCTAAAGCAGATTGGTCATAACACAAGTTTACAAATGAAATGACAAACGTTATCACATAAATGTTAACTAGTGATTTTTTCAAAAGTTATTTTTAAAGAAGATATAGCCATTGTGTAGTGTCACTGTCGTAACAGTGCAAACAATTCGGTGATTACGGCCACCTCTATTGCCCGGTTTCTATGTTCAACGAACGGCCGTTAGTAACATAGCTTCGTAACTTGCATAACGACTTGTAGATTAAAGGAACGCTAGTAACTCACTCCGTAGGTAATGCAATGGCTCGTAAGGAGAACGCCTCGTTTCGTTTATATGGGAACCGGGCGTATAACGATAGGATTCACGCACAAATGTTATACCCGTCTCATTATTGCCGGTCGGTCGTATACGGAATCGGCGATGATCAGCATGTTATATATACCCTATTATGTAGTCAATTTTGAATGTATCAAAAACGCTATGCGTGTAAACGTAGTGTCTAACAATCGGAATGGATCGGTTTTTCGATTAGGCCGCGATTTACACACACACCTAAATTCTAGCCGTAGCTTTCCGCGCTCTTAGAGATTAGAGATGGATTTCTTATTATTATTATCTCACATCCTAATTGTATAATTGGGTTATGAGCTTGGGATTGGTTGGTGTGGTGTTCTTTATCATTTTGGTACAGCGTTATCCCCCCCCCCCCCCCCCCGTCTGGCGGTTAGTTGGTCAAGGCTTGTGTGACGTTTCGCCTAGGTTTAGTCAAATGAGTCAATGGTCAAAAACACAGCACTAGTGAAAACCGCAGTTGTTGTCTAACGTTCCAAGCGGAAGGTGGTTACTCTCTTTGACGACCATAGTTTACTATATACTATTCATGATATAAGGCACTAAGCCAGTTCTTGGTAGAAAGTCCTCGATTGACATATCTGTCTCTGCATAGTGACTAAATGTAATCGACCGATAGCTTGGTTCTAGAAATGTGTGAAAGGGATAACGCTCTACGAAACCTAAATTAGCCCCGGTTGTCTCTTTCCAAAGGTCAATTGTCGCTAAGCTTGTCGCACAATTACTGATATAGATTTAAATTTATTGTGAACGGGGATTCCCCGGAATATCTTGGCATCTGGAAATAAGTTGGTTTCGGTCCTAATTCGGTTTTATTTTCGGTTTTTTTTTTTTTAACTTGTAACAAATGCCCATACTTTCTCCTCTAATATTATAGATTTATCTCCTCTAATATTATAGGCTTATAGATTTTATAATCTGCATAGATAAAGCAGACTTTTATATTCTACGTAGATGATGCAAGTGCAATATAATGGAGCACACGATAAATGTTATAATGACGGTGTGTTGTGTTTCTCTCCTAGTTTTAGTTACGTACAGTGTTGCCATGATAATGTCGTCTGACACTTCCTTTGCGGATATAAATTTATGTATATAGTTTAGATTGTTTTAGGAAAACTTGCGTCGCAATATCACTGACGCTGAAATCTAGTCAATATCTACGAGTTTTTTTTTAATTCTTAGTACTAATTATTCTCGGAATATTAACGTTCTTTACTACACCAATTGACACATTACGTGAAATCGTATTGAATCGTAGGGATTTATAAAATAAACTTGTTCATAACCATGATGTACGACGGTTGTGAGACAAGAAAGCATATGATTATTATTTGTGACGTTTTGTTTACTTATAAAAGATAATATAAAAAAAATACAAAAACTAATAAAATAAATAATTATATATAATTATGTTACATAAAACGGAAATATATTTATTTTAATCTTCTATATTATACTGAAAATCGTACTTATCATAATTAGTACCTGTTTTCCGTACAATTAAAAGCAATAACTTGGTATACTCTATAAAAATATTTTTTTATGTATATAATAAAAACATACTATTTCTATGCGAACAGATTGAGCATTTATATTTTCGATTCCATTGAAATAATCCCAATAACGCTAATCTCTACAAATAATAGATTATTTGTTATCATGTACTTATGCTCTTTGTTGATGATTTATATATTTTTCTATATCGCTAAAGGAAGCTTGCACAGTTTAACTTCCTATCCGGAATCTGCATTGGCTCCAAATTCAATTGAAAAGGGAAAAAAAAACTGTGTAATGATTATTCCACGCACTAATTAATATACGACATTCGCGTTCAACCTTTATTTCGTTCCTATTCTCAGCCTGTGATTGAAGTTAGTTAGTTCTCTCGGATGTGTATTTAAATTTTTTTAAATTGATAAATTCACACGCATCCTGCGACACCTCGCCCTTTTTTAGGGTTCCGTACTCAAAGGGTAAAACGGGACCCTAGTACTAAGACTCCGCTGTCTGTCCGTCTGTCACCAGGCTGTATCTAAAGAACCGTGATGGTTGACAGTTGAAATTTTCACAGACGATTTATTTCTGTTGCAGCTCTATATATATATCTCCAGTAATATATCCCCATACAAGACATGATGTTTTTGCCTTTTTTATAGGTAATGGCACAGAACCCTTCGTGCGCGATTCCGCCTCGCACTTAGCCAGATTTTAATATATCAAATAACGGGCACAATGAAATAAATTAACAGCGTTAAGTGAGTGACATATTTAACAAAAATGCACAGAGGAATGAGACGGAGATAGTGACAGAGCGGGACGATAAGTCGATTGGAGTGTGCATAACGCATTTTCCATACATGACGATTTCCTTCTACTCGTACCTTCTTGAAAAAAAAAAAACAGTGACGTCACTATGTTATGTATGTTTCAGGGACATGTATCAAGCATGTCTCAAATCCGATGACCGTTCCACCGCGGTACCGTCAATGCAACATTAGTTTATTGATTTGTGTCTGTATTAACTAAATTTCATTAGTCTATGAGGTGAGTGCTGTTATGGTATACTCGATCTAAGCTATACGAGGATAGGTAATGTTTTCGCTTGCACCTTTTTGACGAAGCACATTTTTGTCGCTGTGTTCGTACCGTGTGAAATGTTTTGAATTTCATCGTGAAAGTACATTCGATTGCTTAAGCGGTTTTTTTAATGTATATTTCCTCTTTTGTTTTAAAGTTATTTTTCTTCTACTGTGGTACAAAACTGATTATCTTTTCCCTTGCCTGATTTTTTAATCGTTATATACTCCTCTGTATTCGGGTTAATACATATCTGAAAGGAGTCTTATTTGATATATAATCGTTTTTACACTGTAAGAGTGTTTATGTTAGCATTATGTTGCCCTAAGAGGCGATATTAATATTCGTTTCTAGACTGTTGCCGCAATGCAATTTTGTGTTCATTAATTAGTGGTAACATATGTGTTTTATGTACTGTCTCGTGAACTCATGTTACATTTCAACTCACATATCTCTATTCGAAAGTAATCGACTGAAATGAATATTTTAGCCAGTATATTAGAGAAGCTATCAGCTCAAATTGTATGATATTTTTAAAGAAAAAAAATTAACTTAATTAGATCGTTTAGTACGTAACAAAAAAAAAAGGCTCTGTAACGCTTTTGTCTCTAACTGTACACACACGTGATACCGTAGCGGAACCCGATACCTGAGAAATTTGACAACTCCAAATGGTTGACTCGAGAATTATCTGCTTGGCTATTTTTCCATCTAAAATTTACGA